AGTTTTCATGGAAAATATCCTTGTATCTCTTGAGTTGTCCACCAGGTTTCTTCTTACCGTCTACATGCTCAGCGTAAAGAGGAGATTTCGGTAGGCGGTTTTTTTGCATCCTGCATACGTGACCAGCCCATGTTAATCGGGATTTAGTAATCATGATTTCAGAGCTCTCGCAGTTAGCTTTTTCAAGGATCGATACGTTGGAGACATAGTGATACCATATACCATTTGATTCTTAACAGTTGCCTAAGGTGTCTGTGTTGCAACTTGTTTAATGTGCCGGCGGTAGGGCATCCAGGTTTCGCTTCCATACACATGGAGGGGATTATTATTACACTGCAAGTTTTGTTTTTGTGCTCAAGTCATGATTGTAGAAAACCCTGTCTTTTAATTTCCAGAATGCTCTTGAGGCGCTGCTAATTCTGTGCTGAATTTTCCGAAATCAAACTGCCGAGGTAGTTGAATTCCGCTACATATTCCAATAATAGTTCTCCTATTTTTATAGCATTGTTGGGATCTTCCGGGGGAGTGCACATGATTTTAGTTTTGTCGATGTTTAGCTTAAGGCCCAAAGCATCGTATGTCCAGGTATATGTGTTCAACATTTCTTGTAATTGCTTAAAAAATCATTGTATTAAAAAAATCGACCCACTAGAAAAAAATATATCGAACTTTAAAATATGCATAAATATGAAAATTTTAAGATGTCCGTTGTATATTTAAAAATTAACCTTTTTTACATACCAATAAAAATTAATTGCCCACTTTATTTTTAATTAAACAATTAATCAACAATCTACGTTTAAGCAATACAAAAAACCAATTGATATGCTTGATGAATCTTTATTATTGATTCATATTTTTGGGGCAAACAACATGGAGGTCAGAGTGCAGATTGTTTGTGGTGATTTAATTCTATGATTTAATCCACTATACTGAAGTAGGAATGGCGGTTCTAAACATAATGAAAACAAACAAGAAAATATATTAAAAATTGAAAAAAATACGTATAAAAAGCTATTATTCTTAGGGATGATAAACTATATCGATATATCTAAGTACCGATACTGGGGGTGATTGTTAACGATATTTGTTGTTATCGATATTGATAGTTGATATCTATAATTTCTTCACCTTCTCTAGGTAGGTATTCTTTGACCAACTTCGAATTAATGGTTACTGGGTTTCTAGGCTTCTAGAAGTAGAGTAATAATAATTTGCCATGTCTTGATGTTTAGAAGGGAAGATAACGAAATAAACGTATTTTAGATATCTATAGATAACTGAAATGTAAATTATTTATCTAACAAGATTATAAGTGTTAAAAAGGGTGTTATTAAAAGTTTATATGATAATTTCGTCCCATTGCTGCCAAAAGTCACTAACTTACTTTTTATTACTTCCGAGAAAAACGCGTCTAAAGATGAATTGCATTGCATAAAGATGTTATAGTTAGTAACTATTCGGTATTAAAATAAAACATAGAAAACATAACCAGAAATCGTAGTTAATGACTTTCTCAATCGATTCTCCGCTTCAAAATATAGTTAGTAATTCAATTTTCAGGTTGTTCGGAAAAATGTTAGTGACTTTTGGCAGCAATAGGACGATTTATTAAACGAAAAGGTGTATGCAAGGGCTGAATTAATTTCATTAAATTCAGAAAGTTCTTATTTCTTTTGTTCAAGGATTTATACATTTTTGGCTTGTGTTTGTTCTGGACCATCTTCTATCTGATGATGATGATATTAACATGGTTAGCAAAAAGTCCTAACGGTTGTCATCTTCATTGACAGCCAAGCGCTAAAGGCACTCGGTTCCTCAGGGGTCAATTCTAGACTAATGTGGGATTGTGTGCGTGTTCTAAACACACTAGGTGAGAGTAGCAATGTTACATTAGTCTGGGTAGCAAGGTACGAGGGTCACAAAGGCAACAAAAAGACAGAATAAATGGTCAACAATGATAGGGAAAATCATGGCGAACACGAGTCCACATCTGCTAGACCAGAAAACGGACCATATGCTCACCAATAATTACTTTGGAGAAAAGATAAGAATTCGCATCCCGCCAAGAGAAGAATGGGAAAGCAACCGAGTAATGAACACTCAAGAGATAGCAGTCTACACAGATGCTTACGTAACTTTAGGAGGCATAGACCGAGGATCTTTAAGGCTATCGGATGGCTATAATGTTCTACAAGCAGAGGTTTACGCTATACAGGAAGCGGCCAGTTGTATACGAGGAAAATCGCTGATAGACCAATGAGGGATATCGTGATATACTCTGATAACTTGGGCGCTTTAAGAAGCATCACTATGCAATCAGTGAGATCGAAAACTGTGCTGGACATCCGAGAAGCACTTTCCTGGCTGCGTCAAGGCCGGGCCACTCTGTGTTGGGTGTCAAGTCACAGCAATGTGGTGGGCAACCAAGAAGCGGGCAGACTCGCCAAAGAGGGGGCCAGGGGAGAGGCCGTGGCAGATGACCCACCACTTGTGACGATCAGCACAGTGAAGGAAGCTATAGAAACAAAGAGGCCAAGAAACATCAAGGCCAAGTAGCGAGAGACGTGGCAACACCGTGAGGACTGCGCTACAGCTCGAAGACTGTGGCCAGTGGTAGATAGCAAAAAGACAAAACAACTACTAGAGCGCAAAAAGAACTTAGTATGCATAATTGTAGGTGTCATCACTGGAAACTGCCCCACGGGGGTAAACCTCGTGAGATAGAAGATTCTTCTTCTTAAAGTACCTTCTCCATTCAGTGAAGATCGGGAACAACCATGGCAAATTCCTCTCTATTTTTCGCTCTTCTCAGCAAAGTATGTGAGTCCAGGCCTGTCCAATCTCTGATGTTCTTCAGCCAGGAGCATTGCCGTCGTCCGGGTCCGCGCTTTCCCTCAATTTTACCCTCGATGATGAGCTGAAGGAATTCATACTTGCTATGTCTCATGATATGGCCCAAATAGGCTGATTTCCTCTTTTTTATTATGTCGAGGAGTTCTCGGTCCTTGTTCATTTGGTTTAGAACTCGTTCATTCGAGACACGGTCAGTCCATGGTATTCTCAGCATTCTGCGATATACCCACATCTCAAATGCTTCCAACTTATTCATTGCGCTTACTTTGAGTGTCCACGACTCAACCCCTTAGAGAAGTGTGGAAAGTACGTAGCACTTGACGAAGTTGTCTTTTATATGGATGTTGAGACGTTTATCGCACAGTAGGTTCCGCAATTTTAGGAAGTTTGATTTAGCCATCTCAATTCGAGCTCTGATCTCAATGTCTGGGTTTAGGTCTTCACTAATCCAACTGCCCAAATATCTAAACTTTGAGACTCTTGCTATTGGTGTCCCTCCTACGACTACCTCCGTTGTCTGTCTTGCATCTCTATTTATCACCATGACTTTTGTTTTGTTTGAATTTATCCTGAGACCCATTGAGTCGCCCACCGAGGACAGTCTATCAAGAAGTCTTTGCAGGCCCTCAGTGGTGTCTGCAATAATAACGGTATCATCATATCTCATGTTGTTAATCAGCCTGCCATTCACTTTTATGCCGTCTTCTGATCCCTCAAGCGCATTTCGAAATATTAGTTCGGAGTACATATTGAAGAGCAAAGGGCTCAATACGCATCCTTGCCTAACTCCACGCTTGATAGGTATTGCTGTTGTTTCAGTGTCCTGTAGTTTTACTGTCGCTACTTGTTGCTCGTATAGCTTTTGGATAATTTTCAGGTCTTGGGTATCCAGGCCTCTTCTTTCAAGGATGCTCAGCAATTCCCTGTGGTTGACGCAGTCGAATGCCTTCGTGTAGTCTATGAAGCATAGGTGTACCTCCTTTCGTTGATCTCTGCACTTCTGCAAAAGCACCGATAGCGCAAACAGGGCTTCTCTCGTCTCCAGTCCCTCGCGAAATCCCATTTGCTGTTCACTTATGTCTAGCTCACATTTTCTTCGGATTGCCATAGAAGATTACCAATAACGACTATTGCAGGGAATGCGGAGAGGACGAAGAAACCATAGAGCACCTGCTATGCCACTGTCCGGCACTGGAATACCGACGCAGAAAGGTCGCAGGCCTAAAAAAGCCACCTCAAAAATCTAATCAAAATGTATAGATATAAATGGTTAGAAGAACAAATAAGTATCTCTAGAGTAAGTTAAGGTGTGTAATTTTCTGTTACAATACCAAATATTCCAACCTACAGTTTATATCTTTAAAGATATATTTGATTTGTTTATATTACTGCTTATTCCTGTACAGAAACTTCTGAGTAATAATAAATTCATCTCTTAGAGTTACATTTCTGCATAAAATTATACGGTACGACAGGTAAACGTAGCAAATATATGCATTAATAAATACTTAGACCTCTAAATGTGGATACGTGTACAAAAACTTCTCGAGAACTGATTAAAATGACAAAATATTTTACATAAAACATTTTGAATATTTAACAAACTTCCCGAATCCCACATTAGTTAATTACAAAATTATATGTTTTATATCCTATTTAGTTTTGAAACTTTTTAGTATATTAATGCTGGGAACTGATTGAGGTTCTCAATATGTATCTAAGATGGCTAACAACAATAACCAGCAACTGATACAATGGGTGAAATGGCTTACCATTCTTGGTGGGGTATGGGAAAAACCTATTTCGAAAAACGAAATTTATAACAAACTTTACTACATTTTCGCTGTGTTCAGCAAAGTTCTGTATGCCTGCTTCTGGTTATCCTTAGTATCTGAACTGATCCGCTTGATCATATACAAGTACGACATTAAGTTTATCATTGCCAGTTTGGGAGTGGTGGTCAACGCTACCAAAATGCAAGTGAAATTGATCATTTTCTGGAAAAATAAATTCGTAGCTATGTTGGACGAGGTAGTGAACAAAGAAACTGAAATTTGGGAATGCGATGATGATGATATCAAAGAAAAATATTCAAAGAAAGTTAAAACCTGTAGATTTTTTATGATTGCTCAGTTTTTGGGAACTTTAATGCCTGTTACTACAATAAATCTTTCGGGTGAGTAATTTGGGAGTCTATTAATTCGAATTTGAGCGAAATCTGAGTGTTTAAATTAGTGGTTCATGAATTTGAGCCAAGCCGTACCATCCCTTTTTTCGAAGTAAACTAAGAAATTTTTGTAGTTTCGTTGTGGATAAAGCAAGAACCTTAATTTTTAGTGACTGGCTATAATGACAATACACTATCAAATAATTATACCTTATCATTTATGAATTATTGCTAGTAAAAGTTCTTTAACTTTGATAGAGACACACTCACCGACCATCAAAATTCTAAGGTTCTTCTACTACTACTAGTAGGTACATTTTAAGGCAAACAAATTATCAGTGAAAAAGTCAAAATCCGTGCAGTAGGAATTGGCAAACACCAGCATTCTGTTAACTGGTGAATTGGCAGCACTATTTGTGTGAGAAAGTGTCTTCTTGAAAAGGGAGGTGAATCTTAAATTTTTTGTTGGAACATTAAATGAAATCATAGACAAGAGATAAGGTGAATCGATTTGAGAATTTATTATTTTGTATAATACTGCTACATCAGTAATTATTCTACGATGTTCTAAAGTTAATATATTAAATCGGTTGCACATAGATATATAAGAGTCGTTAATATTATTTTTATATCCCAAATAATTTAACAAATCTTTTTTGTATCTGCTCTGGCCTATTTATATAAATATGGTACATTGGATTCCACACTGAGGATGCAAAGTTCAACTGACTGTATAAACGAAGTCTAGTCGCTGCCGGCAACTGACTAAACGACACGAAGTTGCAAGAATGAGTTTTGATTGCTGTGGTTTCAACTTTTTTAGTCATTCTCTATTTTTCTTTAATTTTTACTGTTTTTTAAGAACAAAGAAGTTTAATAAGTAGAATTATGGTGCCGCACATTTGCCAAGTCATTATAATTACAAACAACATTACGTACAAAACTACATGATTTTCGGATAAATTTACAGGCACACAACTTTGATATCTTGTTTATTACAGAGTCATGGTTAAATGACTCAATTTTTGATCGGGAGTTGTTGGATATAAGGAATTACGACATGTTCCGTAGAGATCGTCAAACATCCATGTCGAAGAAGTCAGATGGAGGTGGTGTATTTATTGCAACTGCAACTTATCTCCAAGATACATTGGTACCGGAGTTTCAAAGCGAGGCGGAGGATGTATGGATATATTTTAAAGTGACAGAAGTGGTTGGAGTGTATTTGTGTTGCGTATACCTGCCCCCAGGAGAGGACGATGCAAGAAATAGTTTTATTTCTAAACTGAACTGGATTGCTGAGCGATTAGGTAAAGACAATAAAGTTATCATTTGTCGAGACTTCATTTGTTCCGCATGGAACTGGGTCTCCCAAGAGTGTGAAAATTATTTAACTGCTATTAATATAGATGTAAATTCGGCTAACGTAATAGATATATTTTCGTTTTGCGGTATGATGCAATTCAACCACGTAAGAAACGTTTCTGGTAGAACTTTGGATCTAATTTTATGTAACAATTCAGAAACTGTTGATATGCTATCACACTGTTCGTCACCTCTTGTTACTGAGGATCATCATCATCCGGCAGTAGAATTTCTCCTTCAATTGAAACACACAAAAACTATTCTTCTTCCTAGTTGCAAATTTTTCAATTTTCATAAAGCTAATTATTATGATATTAATAGAGCACTATCAGAGGTACAATGGGATAATATGCTATTTAGTAATAACATAGAAATTAATTTGTCAAGATTCAATATCATTTTAAAAGAATTAATAGCGCATTATGTACCAATGGGCTATCGCAATCGTAATTATCCCGTTTATTTCACCGCTTCAACTATAAAGGTAATTAAAGAAAAAAATAAATTTCACAAAAAGTGGAAAATTTATAAAAATTTACAAGATTTTAATACATTTAAATTGCTCAGAAGCCGCTCTAAAAGACTTATATTGGAGGATTATAATAATTACTTAAATTATATTGAAGGAGAGCGATTCCAAACAACTGTAAAAAATTCTGGCACTTTGTTTCGGCTAAAAGCGGCAGCACTACCATTCCGATGGATATGAAATATAAAACTCAGAGGGCAAGTGATAATCAGTGCATTAGCAATCTTTTTGCGGAATATTTCCAGAGTGTATTTCAACCTCATTTAAATAGTTCGGCTTTGGTTTCTGTCACACTCGGGCATGCGGGTTTGAATTGTCTGCATATAGATGAAAGCGAAGTATCGGAAGTTCTCGGGAAACTCGATCCCAAAAAGAGGCCCGGATGTGATGATATTCCATCAATTTTTGTTAGAAACTGCACTAGAGGTCTATGTGCTCCTCTTACTAAGCTGTTTAATCAATCGCTTACTACAGGCATCTTTCCTGCTGAATGGAAGCATGCCTTGGTCATACCTATCCTTAAATCGGGCGACAAGAAAAACGTAGAAAATTATAGAGGTATTTCTAAACTTTGTATATTTGCTAAAATCTTTGAAAAAGTTGTCTATAAATATCTATTTTTCTTAGTAAAAAATATTTTAAATCCCGAGCAACATGGTTTTTTTTCTAGGAGGTCTACAGACACAAACCTTATCAGCTATGCACAATTTATATGAGTAGCATGGATGATCGTGTACAGGTGGACTCTGTTTACACTGACTTCAGTAAGGCTTTTGACAAGGTCGATCATAATATTTTGTTAGGAAAATTGGCGGGAGTCGGTGTGGATGGAGTCATGCTTGACTGGTTTCGATCGTATTTATCGGGCCGGTCTCAGTGGGTGTCAGTGGCTGAGAGTCTATCATTCCCGTATGAGTCTACATCGGGAGTTCCACAGGGAAGTCACCTGGGTCCGTTATTATTTATTATCTATTGTAAACAATAGATCTTGTATTTTCAAATAAAACACTGGATTTCCCTCATAACTTCTTTATTACATTTTAGTACTTAGGATTACGACACAAACATGGGTATCGTGCGAGCGCACGGTACCGACTGACTGCTGCGGACGCCTCACTCCCAATCTTATCTCCCGTAACATTCTATCGCCTCTGTCATAAAAACCATGCATTATGAATAATACAATCTGACATAATACATAAACCATAATTTGTTAATCATAACAATACACTATATAAACAAGGTACTCATAAAATCATAACACTCGGCCATCCTACTTTCCGGTCGTCCTCGACTTCCCTCCTTTATTGCTTCTGAAAAGATAAATAAAAAAAATAAAAAAAAAGAAAAAAAAATATCTATTTTTAAGTTTCTATGCTCGCATTAGAGCTTTACTTATTTTTAAGTTTTTATGCTCGCATTAGAGCTTTATTTATTTTTAAGTTTTTTGCTCGCATTAGAGCTTTACTTATTTTTAAGTTCTTATGCTCGCATTAGAGCTTTATTTGTTTTTAAGTTTTTATGCTCGCATTAGAGCTTTACTTATTTTTAAGTTTTTATGCTCGCATTAGAGCTTTACTTATTTTTAAGTTTTTATGCTCGCATTAGAGCTTTATTTATTTTTAAGTTTTTATGCTCGCATTAGAGCTTTATTTATTTTTAAGTTTTTATGCTCGCATTAGAGCTTTACTTATTTTTAAGTTTTTATGCTCGCATTAGAGCTTTATTTGTTTTTAAGTTTTTATGCTCGCATTAGAGCTTTATTTATTTTTAAGTTTTTATGCTCACATTAGAGATTTACTTATTTTTAAGTTTTTTTATGGTCGCATTAGAGCTTTTACTTATTTTTAAGTTTTATGCTCGCATTAGAGCTTTACTTATTTTAAGTTTTTTATGCTCGCATTAGAGCTTTATTTGTTTTAAGTTTCATGCTCGCATTAGAGCTTTACTTATTTTTAAGTTTTTATGCTCGCATTAGAGCTTTACTTATTTTTTAAGTTTTTATGCTCGCATTAGAGCTTTATTTATTTTTAAGTTTTTATGCTCGCATTAGAGCTTTACTTATTTTTAAGTTTTTATGCTCGCATTAGAGCTTTATTTATTTTTAAGTTTTTTATGCTCGCTTTAGAGCTTTATTTATTTTAAGTTTTTATGCTCGCATTAGAGCTTTATTTGTTTTTAAGTTTTTATGCTCGCATTAGAGCTTTATTTATTTTAAGTTTATATGCTCACATTAGAGCTTTACTTATTTTTAAGTTTTTATGCTCGCATTAGAGCTTTACTTATTTTTAAGTTTTTATGCTCGCTTTAGAGCTTTATTTATTTTTAAGTTTTTATGCTCGCATTAGAGCTCTACTTATTTTTAAATTTTTATGCTCGCATTAGAGCTTTATTTATTTTTAAGTTTTTATGCTCGCATTAGAGCTTTACTTATTTTTAAGTTTTTATGCTCGCATTAGAGCTCTACTTACTTTTAGGTTTTATGCTCGCATTAGAGCTCTACTTATTTTTAGGTTTTATGCTCGCATTAGAGCTCTACTTATTTTTAGGTTTTATGCTCGTATTAGAGCTCTACTTATTTTTAGGTTTTATGCTCGCATTAGAGCTCTACTTATTTTTAGGTTTAATTTTAATTTATTTTTGTTTTGTTTTAGGTTTAAATCAGTAATACCTTCGTTGTGTTTTATATTCAAAAATAAATCTCATAAGGTCATCTTAACAAAGACCAGAATCTAATCCTTAATTAATATTAAGAGTAAATTGTAACTTTAAAAGAACGTTCGTTCATCCTGACCTTACTAGCATCGCTGCAAATCGATGTCCCTTTTTATGGTTCTAAGGAATTGAATGTTGAAACATACAAAACTTTATATCTACTTAATAATTGTTCGCCTTAAGTGAATCCATAAAGTCAAAGAGTTTTTTATATTGGACGTTAGATTTCTTTTTTTTAATATTAGACGTCACATTATGGCAGATACTGTATTTTGTAGTACCCCAATTGTCAGAATTAATTATTTATTACAAACTCATTTGATCTTTGATTATTGCATAGATTTCATTTAGTTTTTGACTGAAAATTTTATTTACTATGGAACTGTATTTTTTTTATTATTTAGAAATATTTATCTGCTAAAAGCTTTCATAAACTGATTTATTTTTCTTTTACTTCTGTTTGCAGTTTTAAATCACACTTCTCCAAATATGAGAATTAAATTCACCTTGCTTTTCATACAGTAACCAACCAAGTATATTTTCAATCGATTCATATTTTGACCCTATTTTAATAAAAATAAGTATTAATGAATAATATTCCAATTATTTTTAATACTAAAGATATTTCGTTTTTATTTTTAATTATTTTTTTTTATTTACTATTTCTACTGAAAAGTTTAGATTCAATTAGACCACCAATCAGAACCCAGTTGAAGAGGATCGGGCCAGCTCATAATCCCCTGCAACCAACGATCCTCAATGATCATTATCAAAGCCAAACATTAATTAATTAATATGGGTTGCAGCATTGTAACCCTGTGCTTTTACTGATACGTGTTACTAAAAGTATAAGAACATTTAGTTCTAATTTTTTATACCTTCCTGTAAAATTTAAAATTAATTAAAACTGAAACTTTTGTTAAAACTGGAGATGTTTTTTTTATACAGTCTTAAATATTAAATATCAATTTACTAATAATAGTCAACTTCATGAAAGACTGGTATGGTTTTTCATAATTCCTTGTACGAAATATAGTGTTAGTTGTATGCAGTAATTTGTTTGTAACAGGTTTTTTTTACCAAAGTTATTTTTTTTACCAAAGAACTTTAGTTTTTATCAATATGCTTCGAACATTTTATTAAACTATCGCAGTTGTCTTTAAAACAAAATATAGAAATATTAGAAATATTGATGATATTCTGATCCTCTTTGTTTAGCAAGTACTTAGTCATATTTAATTCTTGGTATTTTTAATTAAAAAGAAAATTTTATCCTGTAAACATACAGGGTGCAATTTGAGTGTTTTTGCTTGAACTCTGTTGTGGTTAAATAGGAAATGATATTTACTCAATTGTTTTTAATAAGAAATTATTGAGTTTTGATAAACTATATACAGCAGTCAAATTTGCAACATTCCATGAAAGCTGGAGGCAATGAAATAGATATCTGTACCTAACTGCTATTCATAAGTAATAAACATAAATTATTATTTTGTTTTTTTCTGATACTTTAGTGTTGATGAACACTACAGATTGGAAATTATATTTTAATTTAATTAAATTCGATTTTTTTAAATGCATTAAAAATTTTGTTAAATAAATAGTACAGAGTGAATAATGGTGTGATGACTTGAAAGGATACATATGATGGTTGAAATCAAGTTCCAACTATATAAGTAGTAGGTAGTTGCTCAATTTGTTTCTATATAAAAGAAACAGATACTTCATATTCTTCTAAACTTCATATTATAAATCGCTCAGCAAACTTATCATCTGTAAATGACTCTACTCGGCTGTGCTACCAAAAGAGACACCTTGCTCTCTCTAGGGTTCTCAAAGAGGGTTCTAGAATCTTGATAATATCTCCCAATTCATTTATAATTTTATAATTCATGAAGCACTTTAAATATGTCTTACATGTCACTAAAACAGATTTCAATAAAAGAGATTAGCGAATAAATCATGGAACAAAATAATAATCATTCAAAAAGTGAAATCATATACTGTTTCCAAAGAGAACATTCAGAATAAATATTTTTTTTAGGAAGTAGAATGTTGTGGGGACATTGCGTTCAATGCTAATTTATTTTATTTTTGTTGCAAAACAGTCTGATTTCTTATATTGATAAACTTTATTTTTTTTTAATTGCTATTGTCTGAAGTTACAGCTTTTGGTATTTCAAACTTCCTATTTCTTTTTATTTATTTATTTTTTTTTGAGGCCGAACAAAAGTAATTATTTAAACTTTTTATTCCTCCGACACTCTATCTTCTGGTAAAATCCTGAAGGGCTTTACTAAAACCATAACATAAAATATAATCAACACAACACGAAATTAATTAAATGGTTTCTTTTAAACTCCTCTGTATAAATTGTTAAATATACAAAACAATTTTTTTGTGCATACCAATTTCTTTTTACAAATCCAAACAAATATTATTGTGTTGTGTAAAAAACTCTGTGTGTTTATCGACCTGTGTACGAACATTTTCTGTTATCAATTATCACCATATATTTTTTTTTTTTTTTGAAACATATTGTGTAACTCCTTTTATTTCTATTAACAGACTATTTTCCAAGACCGTCCTGAAAATAATAATTAGTCCTTAATTATTTTAAAAAGAACGTTATATCTTTATAAGAAACAGAGAAATAATTTTTGAATCATAAACTTTATTAAAACAATAATTATTTTTAGACTATATCGGTCTATAATGTTTGTAGAGATTTATTTTTGCGATTATTTGTTCACAGTGTAAATTTAAACCTTGGTGATATTTTAAACCTTCATATTGTTTAATTTTATTCACTAGAAATGAATAGCCTTTACAAAATCAATTTAAATAATTTAGACATTAAACATTTGATTTTGCTTGTATCAAATTTGCAAAGAGATTATGCAAAAGATGCTTGTTTTTAATTTTAGTTAAAACATTTTTTTGTTATACAGGCTGCCCTATATTGATATCACTATCATTAATTGATCTGAACCTTTTATTTTATTTGATTCTTTTACAAATTCAATTTATTGGAATATTAATTTCAATAACGTCTTTAAAATCATAAACAAGCAACTAAAAATTTTATATTCGTAACTATGAAACATAAATTAACAATTAATTGATATCTGTGTACTTATCTTATTCGAATGTATCCTCTGAAGCTATATTTTCTCACTGCTTTAGTGTTTATGTCAACATGGTCAATCAAAAGACTTATTTTAGCAAACATGACTTGCAGTTTGCACCTTGCACATCGTAACAGCCTTGTCTTTTCCCATTTTTGAAGTAGGAGTGGATAAGCCAATTTCCAAATGTTCCTGTATGTATCCTTTTTATTCACTAACACTGCTGGACTTGTTGCTTTATGGCTTTATGTCCTTTTCCAGCAACTTAACTTATGGATTCACACACAACATGGCATATTGGCACTTTTTAAACTCTTGTGGTACTTCTAGTAGTTCTATCCCGCTTCTGATTGTAAACAATAGATCTTGTATTTTCAAATAAAACACTGGATTTCCCTCATAACTTCTTTATTACATTTTAGTACTTAGGATTACGACACAAACATGGGTATCGTGCGAGCGCACGGTACCGACTGACTGCTGCGGACGCCTCACTCCCAATCTTATCTCCCGTAACATTCTATCGCCTGTCATAAAAATCATGCATTATGAATAATACAATCTGACATAATACATAAACCATAATTTGTTAATCATAACAATACACTATATAAACAAGGTACTCATAAAAATCATAACACTATGTTAATGATCAAAATAAAAACACTAAATCACCACAATACACCAAAACACTTTTACTTTTACACTGGACGCGCGTTTCGCTAACCATGTTAGCATCATCAGCAGATGATTATAAACTATTAGTTTATAATCCTCCATCTGCAGCAGATGATTATAAACTATTAGTTTATAATCCTCCATCTGATGATGCAAAGTAAAGTGTTTTGGTGTATTGTGGTGATTTAGTGTTTTTATTTTGCTGTTTAACACCAAAGGTTCCAACCCTCAACTGTAATCTATGTTAATGATATAAAAAACTGTTTTCATTTTTCCAACTATTTGTTATATGCGGACGACTTAAATTTTTTTATGAAAATTCGTTAACATCAATGATGCGCTTTTATTTCAGTCTGAATTGGACAATTTTAAGAATTACTGTTCGAAAAATAATCTATTTCTAAATCCGGAAAAATGTTTCATGATCTCATTCAGTCGTAATCACAATAAGTTAGTGTATAACTATAGCTTAGGTGACATTGATTTACTTCGAAAACAAGGAGCACGAGATCTAGGTGTATTCTTTGATGAGAAAATGATTTTTAGCGAGCATATTGAGGCTATTGTTTCTAAAGCATTTAGAACGCTGGGATTTATACACAGGCAGGCTAGACAATTCACCAGCAATAAAGCTTTGCTCTCTTTATATTATACGTATGTATACAGTCAGTTGAACTTTGCATCCTCAGTGTGGAATCCAATGTACCATATTTATATAAATAGGCTAGAGCAGGTACAAAAAAGATTTGTTAAATATTTGGGATATAAAAATAATATTAACGACTCTTATATATCTATGTGCAACCGATTTAATATATTAACTTTAGAACATCGTAGAATAATTACTGATATAGCAGTATTATACAAAATAATAAATTCTCAAATCGATTCACCTTATCTCTTGTCTATGATTTCATTTAATGTTCCAACAAAAAATTTAAGATTCAACTCCCTTTTCAAGAAGACATTTTCTCACACAAATAGTGCTGCCAATTCACCAGTTAACAGAATGCTGGAGTTTGCCAATTCCTACTGCACGGATTTTGATTTTTTTTCTGATAATTTGTTAGCCTTAAAATGTAAATTAAAACGACAATTTGTGAGTGTATAGCCATGTCCAGATATTATACTCCTGAACAGTAAATTTATATTTATAAGTTAATTCCGTTTTTCTATGGTTTAATATCTATAATTTAATTGTTTACTTTTAATATATAATTATTGTATTCCTTATCGCGATTCCTTTGCTTGTTATTTCATAGTGTTTTCATTTCATATTTTTTTGCTTAAATCTTAAACATATTGGTGTTGATATTGACTTAGTTTGTGTATATATATATAGAAAAAATTGTAATTTTAAGAAAAATAGTATTATAATTTTAAAATTGGTTATTACTATTGTTATTGGTATTTAGTTATTATATGTAAGCTGTGGACACTAATTTTGGGACTTGTCCTGTTTGTGTTCCGACTAGAAATAAATAAAATAAATAAATAAATAATTATTATACTGGACTGGCAAAGGTTAGTCTTGGGTCGAGATTTCCGTATGTAAGAAGAGTACAATGCGTTTATAATGTACTGAACAAAGACAGAACAGTAAACACGTTGCCAAACGTATGAAATAAACCTAGAAACTATAAGCTATGAACATTGCTAAGTTGTCGCAGTCAATCGGTTCACCCAATCAGTAACTCTGTCAGTTCTTAAAGTTCTAGGGAAAGGCGTACATCATGCGTTCAGCTTCACAATTTAATTACGTTTCGTGATACTTTATTTGTTTATTTATTAACGAGTCGTAATTTTCCTTATAGCTTGAAAATTTTTAAGTGCCAGTTAGAAACATTTTGGGTAAAAATAAGTGTAATTGAGTTGGTGTTCGATAGTGGTCGCACTATTAGAACTCTGAATTCCAAAATCCATATATCGAAATCTATTAGAAATAATTGATTGTAGTTTTTCAAAAACTTTCTTCGTAGACAGTATGTAAAAATCTTCATAAATAAAAAAGTTGCACTAAAAGTAAATGGATGAGTTGTTTAAAATTTTAGAACGGAAAAAAACAACATTATTGAATTTTTCTTATGTAAACATATTGTAAATGATCCCATCTTCAAAATAAAAAAAGCTTCAATATCTAAAGTGGTTCTTAAGTTATGGCGTGAAATGTGTTAAAAAGTTGAGTTTTTAAATTATCGCGATTACTGACCTTTTCTCGTTATAAAAAAATGCACACCCTATCGATATTCTTATAATTCCATTTCAGATGCTCAGAAACATATCTAATGATTTTGTCTAGTTACCTTTTCGAAAAAAGTCTTAAAAAAGTGGTTTGCGATTGTGATTTTACTTTATTTGATAGGGAAAGGGATACCGGCAACAACGCAACAGCATACCGTCGCATTTCTCTCACTCCGACTTAATAAGATCCGTATGCGATTTACTTCCACACTCGTATGTAAATACCGATCCAAAAGCAACAGTTCCCAGCACGGTATAGAGGTATTCTTTGACCAACTTCGAATTGATGGTTACTGAGTTGATCGCTCTGAAGGCTGCTTAACTATCAGATAAGATGGATATTTCTTGTTTCCGATAGTTTTTTTTTCTTCCTATCTAAGATAATTTGTACGCATCTTTCTAGAGCGTACATTTCTGCCTGTAGGATGGTGGTGTACCCATGGTCTTGTGGCCATTTTTGTAAATGCTTTTGCAATACCATAGAAGGGTTCTGGACCTCCCTAACTAAATCTTTTAAGATTTTCTGCAAAATTCTAATTTTTAGTAAATTTAACGTATTATTCAATATTGGGTATATTTTTTAGGCGCATATGAAAACAGCAAGTTAATTCAATACAACAGACTTAACAATGCTTCGTTGGAAACGCATTTTATGTACCAAATATGGTTTCCAGTCAATAAGTTGGATAATCTGGTACCCTACTACTCCGTGATGTTAATGTTTACGTGGAGCGGTTTTGTCTACAGTTGCATCACCCATATGTTGTTTGTTACACTTCTGATATACTGTGGTGTACAATTGGAGGTTCTGCAAGTGAAGATGAGCAAAATTACATCCAGCAGTGATAATAGCGAAGAAAATAGAAAGTTGTTGTGGAAGAAGTTGATTGTTGAGCATCAGTATATTATTGAGTATGTTGGGATATGTTGAAATATTATTTTTATAGAATATAAATGATGAATATATAAATATAACCCAAACTTATGCTTTCTTAAATTGGATACCCTGTATATTATTTCTTTATTTATAATAAAATCAGATTAACTTACATTTAACTTATTTTAGGTTTATAGAAACTCTAAATAATAGAGCTATGGGTATTGTTCTAATGGAGTTCATTTTGAGTTCTTTGGATGTAGCTTCTGTAGCCACGAATGCCACAAAAGTAAGTTGTATATTACAAGAATTTGATTATACTGTGCAAAAGCTGTGTGTTCTTTATTTGAGGCTTGACGCATTTCAGTTCATTTTAAAAATTCCGGCTGCAGCGCTCAATACGGCAGAAACTAGAAGTGCCGTGTATAGGCTTGGTGTATTCTCCGCCAGTGCTGCCACCGCCGGAGAATCAGTTACTCACTTGTTTCGTCGAACTGCTTGAATCCATTTTTGCAATTGATCAAATCGGTGTAAAAAATTATCAAGCTGTAAAATGTTGTTTCGGGAGAGTTGAATATCCGGGTACGTTGAGTTATTGAATGTTATTGCACCCAACAACGCCCTCATTCAACCTCATTACGCTCTCCTTTACGCGTTAACATTTTTTAGGCAATTTTATTAACATTTGAAATTGTCACAACACAACAAGACTCCTAGTTCGAATTCTTTTCACTCATTTTTTACTACCCGAAACAGCGTTACATCACACAAACCTCGTACCTGAGTGTTTTATAGTCTCAATAACTGCACTAGCAAAAAACTTAAATACTTAAATATTATGACAAAACCCTGATTTTAATATTATTTTAATGCGATCGACATGACGGCGCCGGCGCGGCGGCGGCGGCGTGAACTATATATTGATAATTTCTGATTTCTGTCGTAGAGTGCGCTGCGGTCGGCACCAAGCCTATAGCAAAATTCTATTTCGAACTTTTATTTTTAATATAAATTAACAGTATTCTGAACATAATAAGTATGCTTGGCTTTAATTTACGATTGTTAATTTTTTTTTATTTTCAGTCGAAAGCAAATGAATCCTTTTGGTTATTGTGCTTTTTTGCCTTGCTATCCTATCAAATTTTTGCTCTGGCTTGGAACGCAAATGAGATAAAAGAGCAGGTAATTTGTCAGTGTTTTTATCAAAGAACCCTTTAATTTTTCTTCAAGAGAAAATTGTTTTCCATTTGTTAATATTGCTTTTTCAATTTTTAAACTAAAAACTTAGTCAATTTATACAAAAATACATTTTTAGAGCGTTGCCATAGCCGATCATCTTTACAATAGCGAATGGTACATGCTAGAGAAGAAAGAATGTCAAGTGATGCAGATAATTCTCATAAGGGCTCAAAAACCCTTGGTTATAACTATAGGACCTTTTGGACCAATGACCACGCAATCAGCTTTGTTGGTACGAATACAATTTTCACAGCATCACAAGACGGTTATTATTACGTAATACCGTATGATCGAAAAAAAAAGGCGACCCGTTGGCTAAGAAATGACGACCGATGACATTTCTCATATAAATTTACATATAAAATGACAGCGATCTTCATTTCGTAGCCATCGTTGACGCTGTTTTTTTTCGATCATACAGTATTTATAGATGCTGAGATACTTAGTATTGTAAATAAAAACATTAAAATGAAGGGTAGTAGGTATGGGGCCACTTGAGCCCAAGGTCAACCCCCATTTTCTCCCTAAATTTAGGGAAATTTTCCCGTCCATAGCGGCCCACCCTATGTAAATCTTATAACATGGGTTATATGTAATTTCCCTAAATCTTCTGATTTTTAGATTTGGCAACGTCGCATTTCATTATACATCCGGCAACGCTAGGTTTCTTTCGAGAAACCCGACAGCGGTCGGTGGCAATGCTACTAGGAAAGAAGCTGGCATCTCCTGATTTTGCGGAGTCAGATATTGATATGGACACATTATTTTTTTTTATTGAGGGTGCTAGTATTTACACAGAAAATACATTATGAAGGGCTGCTGTTGCCATATATTGGTATTAGTTGATATTAGCAAAGAATATTATTGTTTGACTTTAGTTAGTTAGGGATAGTATGTCTATATATTAGAGAACAACGGCATACGGTCGAGTCGGCCTACAAATACGTAAACGTTTATGTACGCATGCGCATTTCTTATATTTTTATTTTTTTTACACGTAAAAGATTCTTTTACGTCTACGTATACGATGCCAGCAGCAGCCGACTCGACCGTATGCCATTGTTCTCTATTCTGCATTTTTTTATTAATATTCTGTTGTTACACTGCAATAATACTTGTTATTTTGGATGTAGGAAAATTATTTTTAATGTGTTTAAGCAAAGACTGGTTTAATAAATAATAATAACAGTAATAATTTGTTATACCTATTAACAACAAAATTTGAAATCATTTAATATAAACATTTTTTTTAAGTAGTAGCAAAATATAAACAACAAATTTGATGTCAAAATTATTTATATTAGATCCTATTTAAAAATAATATAGTCTCTCAATTTTTTGTGGCAACGTTGGTTTATTAAATAATAATAATTACAGAACTAATTTGTTATATTAACAACAAATTTTAAAATCATGAAATATAAACATTTATTAATTTTCTAAGCGTGCAGTGTAATGCAAGGAAAATATAAATAAAAATTAGAAATCAAAATTATTTATATTCGGTACTTTATATTACTATTTAATAATAATAATATTTACTTTTACTGGTATTTACTTACTAAAAAATAAATGAAATATTTCTTCGCAAAAAACTACATGTAAGAGAATTAGCATAAACAAAATACAAACATCGTTAACTTTTTTTTAAATTGGCACGTGTAAAACTTTTAATTTAATTTTCTCACCCCATAGTCTGAGTTCGATAACCATTTACTTAACCACATTAATTAATATAATTATTAAGTTCAACTAATTCATATTATTAAAACATCTAAAATACAAATATGTATTTTTAAAATTAATTGTAAGTTCATCTCATCTCTCTTAAAAATTGCTACTTCTCAAAATTTCCCATTAAAAAATAGACCATATACCATATAAAATTAAATAATTGAAAGATCGGGCTACGGAAAATCACACAAACTTTCGGAAAAATTTTGACCACCTGCACACGCACACAATCGTCAATTAAAAAAACTACTATTTTAGTATTTTAAATATTTTAATAAACGCAAAAATAGCACAGTATTTATAAGGCGAAGTTATAAAAATTTGGAAGAACTAATAATGCACTGACGCACACAAAAATCAAACGAATACTAAATTTCATTTATCAAAAACATTCGATAGTCGTGGCTCAACGATAACCATTTAGTCGCACGGCGAGGTTGTCACATATGCTTTAGTATACAAATGAATGAATGATTTTATTCGAATAAAACCATTCGATAGTTGAAATCATTCATTATTATCGATAGTCTAATTCATTCGATAGTTCCCATAGCTAATTTACATATAAAATGACAGCGATCTTCATTTCGTAGCCATCGTTGACGCTGTTTTTTCGAATCATACAGTATTTATAGATGCTGAGATACTTAGTATTGTAAATAGAAAACATTAAAATGAAGGATATTCCTTAATTAATGGTAACATTTAAGAGGGTTATTCTTGGAATAAAAGCCCATTCAAGCAAATAATAATCTATTCTAAGAAATAAAACTTCGGTCGTCGTCTCGGCGCACTCAGTGATAAGGTGTTCTGGTGTTTCCCCATTTTCCCCACAGAATCTGCATTTGCCGTTGTTTCTCAGCTTCAGCCTACTGAGGTGTTTCTTGAGGAGACAGTGTCCTGTTAGAAACCCCGTGACAATCCTAAGATTGTTTTTACTTAAATCAAGGAAAACCTTTGAGGATTTTTCTCGGTCGTAAGTTCTGAGGAACTTTTTTCGAGTGTCTTAGACCATTGGAGGGACACCACATTCCAACATACGGATGGAGTCTTCCAGATTCTTCAGTTCCGCTTTTCAGGTGGTTCCCGTTTGGAAAACAGAACGGTTCTGGTCCAGTTAGTGGAGTGTTCGCTCCTTTCCTAGCTAGATCATTTGCTTTTTCATTGCCTTCTATCCCTTGGTGAGCAGGCACCCAGAGTAGGAGGACTTTATTTTCTTTGCCTAATTTGTTGAGCTTCTCTAGGCATTCTTTGACCAACTTCGAATTTATGGAGTTGATCGCGTTAAGTGCTGCTTGACTATCGGATAGGATGACAATTTCTTGTTTTCGATAGTTCCTATCTAAGATAAATTGTACGCATATTTCGATAGCGTAAATTTCTGCCTGAAAGATACTGCGGTAGGTGCCTATTGGTTCGGAGTATTTAGTTTTCGGTCCAAATACTCCTATCCCTGTCCCTGCTTTGTTTTTGGAAGCATCAGTATACCACGTGATGGTATGGTTTTTTATATGCTGAGTAAGCGTTTCTTTCTTCCAATCCTTTCTATTACTCAATACTACAGTGAGGTGTTTCTCAAAGTTGTAAGTTCTTGGTATGTCATCCACTGGGAGAAGTGGAATTTTCTTTTTGAGGGTGTTCCAAGCCCCTGACCTGAAAATTCTCCCAGTACTGTTTCCGTCAATGACCATTCTAATCATTGTCGCATTGGCATAACTACCGACGACAATGTGTTAGGTCTAGAATGACCTCCATTGCTGCTGTTGGATATGTTCTCATGGCACCTGTGATGCAGATACATGCCAGTCTCTAGTATCTGTACTTTGCCCAGGTTTTGCCATGTTGTACGTTGCTCTAGTTTTGCATACCAAGCAACTGCTTCATAAGTTCATCCGTTGATACATCGCTCTGATCGATGTAACGATTTCCACAAAACAGTCACCGTAACACAGATTTTTAGCCTTTTGATTATGAAGAAAATTGTATAGAAATGAATGAAGATTTTGAAAATAATTCTGATTTTTTTTTTAAAATCAATGGCGTACCATTTTTTCTCCCAAAATATTCAATATAAAATTAAATTTGTACTGGTTGAAATAAATAAAATTGTTTTCAACGTCACAAAAGTATTAATTTTTGCGACATGATTGAAAATATAAAAAAGTCATTTTAACGCCTAGGCAGAAAAGTAAAGCACTTTTACGCCTAAGCACAAAAGTACGAAAGTATATTATTAATTATGATTATTAATGTTATTAAACTGATATAAAGTGTCAAATTCAACGAGCCCGCCGTAACCATTTCTCGATATATAATTACTTACAAGGTATTACTTTTAAATCTTCTCATATTATTTGGCAACGTTCGAATTTGTTTAAAAAATTATTTGTGACGTTTGAAAAAAATAGCATGTTCTATTCGAAGTAAAAATTATATTTTATGACCCGCCTGTATTGTCAAATGTACAGCTCGTCACAAAAAGTATACCTAAACTTTTACTCCTAATAATTAAAAAAGGCATTTTGACATATAAATGACGTGTTAAAATTTTTTCCTTGGAATTTATATTTTCTTATACTCCCGTATTTTGTTTTCAGATGTTCAAAGCCGCCTATTCTTACATCAGTATCATGAGCTAAATATTATGCAATATCTAAATAAAGTTTCAACAATTTTTTGTTGCTAGGACAAAACTTTGGCTTTAGACAGTTAATAATAAATATTTCCAAAGCAAATTATTACAGATTTTTTTTTATTTACTTTACTTCCTATACGTATTTACTTTTGATTGACTGAGAAAAAAAACTCTCACTGTTAACAATAATAATATTAGAATGATGTTTTGAGAAATTAATTTAAGTCAGTTACCAAAGGTAATAATCAAAGATATTTAAACTCAAGAGATACAATTGTTTACCTTTCTCCTTCATCAGCCATTATTCTATCCTTATTTTCCCATCTCTCTTACACCGAAAACATTTGCCAGATTTACCTGTATATTGGTATTAGTATTCGATTAAATACCACAACCAATTATTAAGTAATAAATAATTTCGTTATATTTTTGTAATATATCAACTACATTAATTTGCTAACGTCAATTTTTTCATTTAATGCTTAACTGCTTTAGTATTTTAAATTTTATAATGGAATAAAATATCATGGTCGTGTTTCTTTTAATAATAAAAAGCAGCTTGGCAACGTCAGTTTTAGAAATATGCCGGCGTAGTACAACGTATTTCGAGGATGAATGGAAAATCCTAGATTCTCCTTTTTTGCGATGTTGCTATGCCGCCGATCAAGCTCCATATTGTTTATTGGCAGTATTATGGTATTTTTGCGTTATTTTGTGGACTTCTGTGGACATTATTTTGAAAATATGGTGCATTCATGTATTGTTTACAAGAGAGTGTATCATTTAAATCCAAATTTAACTTTTCACCGGTAAATACAAATAAGTAGGGTTAGGTATATTACTATATCCTATTCTCTGTAGACATAAAAAATAGCAGATCTCTAAATTATATTTTTAGGTTTATTTTTTAAATCATATATTTATTATGTTTTTTAAATTATATATTTATTAATTAAATTATTTGTAGGAAAAAGGTACATGGTACATACTAATTACCAATAAGTTAATAACAATTTCTGTTTCCCTTTTAAGAAAGGGTATTGAATGTTAAAAATTAATTTTAAGTTCTATAAACCGCCTGTAATTTATAAACAAGATCTATTTTCGAAAAATCGTACTTTCTTATAAGAATAAATCTAATCTAGGTACCTACTTGGGTTTGACAAACCATTACCTACCTTTTGTGAACATTTTATTGGGGTGTACCAAAGATGGAATTTTGCGGCCTTACTTTTTTTGTTGCCGTTACAATTTTATACGGCTATTGTTTTAAATTTTGGTTGCTATAATGTAAATTTATTGTGTTGTATAATGTAAATCTTTTGACATACGTATAATTAATGTGGTTATTACATGAATTTTATGACTTTCTTACATTTTATTGTATTGAAATTCTTTGCACATGCATTTTTTATTATTTATAAGCAATATGAATTTTCCTTTGCAAACAAGAGAAAAAAACTAAATATTTTTTTAAACTAAGAACCGTTTACTAAACAATCACCATTTTATTTTATTTATGATTTTGTAAAATTATCGCTAGACTTTTCTGATGACTGTGTATTATAATATCAAATAATTTTGTTTAGATATGCACATACCGTATGATCGAATAAAAACGGCGTCCAGTTGGCTTGGAAATGACGATCGAAGGTATTTCCTATATAAATTTACATATAAAATGAGAGCGATCTTCATTTCATAGCCATCGCTGACGCCGTTTTTATTCGATCATACGGTATAATATACATCTTATATTTTCAGTTCTGATTTACTGTGTTTGAAACATCCCTAAAATGAAAGTTAAGGTAAATAAATGTTGAATTTTCTTACTCCTTATTCCCTCATTAATGAACAATTGTGAACTAATAAAAATTATAAGGCACATTTTAAATTTTATTCAATGTTTTTTATTGTAGTTGTAAAATTTATATATAAAATATTGTGTTATTAGGTTAAAATAACTGTTTTATTTTGTTATTGCTAATAGAGGGAATCTCATTTGCCGGAGACGAACAAGGTTTGGAACAAGATATTGAAACTGCATTTACTAATACACCTAAAACTTGATATTTTATTTAATAAAATAAAATAAAAAACGCTTATTAATTTTTTAATCGTTATTCTTATGTGAAAAGCCATCTTATAATAAAAAAATATGCCGGTTTTTATTTTATTTCGCTATCCTCCCTCAACTTATTTTTTTTACAATGCGACAAATATGTAAGATGTAAGTTTTATTATTATTTTATTTTAATTTATTAAACAATTATTTTAATTTCCTTAAAATACTGTCGGTCGATCGGCACGCCACTGGAAATTGACCTCAAACGTCTATGTACACAACTACATTGTTGCCATCGAGCAGATACCCCTATTTCCTTCTCTATCCATTCTCTCTTGCACTCGTTGATTTTCGCAAACCAATGTGTGATGAAGCTTTAGAGCGTTTTATGAATGGATCATTGTATCTCCCGAGTTTAAATATCTCTGGTAATAATTAAGGTAGTATCAGACACATCTACTTTTGTTGCGCAATTTTTTTGCATCCGCTGCAAAAGTTGCATACAGTGTTCATACACCAGCAGAAAGTAGCCCAAAACGTGCAGTTTTATGCAGCAGCTGCCTAAAAAAGGTGCAGGTCGACACTACATGCTTTTTATATGTTCACACCAAAGTGCTACTTTTCCAACATATTTTGGTAGCCGCAGCCTTGGAGGGGCAACATTCAACAGTACACCACCCGCAGCTCAATGTATCGTGTGTGTAGGTACGTTTTGGGAGACGGTTGCGTTTTTTTTTAAATCGATGACGAGGCAGCGGCAAATTTATATGTATGTGACTTTGGCGGCGAAACAAAAGCGGCGACAAAAAAAAAACAAGAGTATGGGTCAGGGAATGGATAAGAAAGCGCGAACAGTTGGGTGGCATTCAATAATTTACTTATTGAATTGCATGCTCAAGACGAGTGGCACTGTGATAGAATGGACTTTTTACGTTCCATAAACACTCCCTTGCTTCTACCTCTTCTATTAAACATTTAACTTGTTCTCTGTTCCAAATGGCTTGTTTTGACTGCGACGACATCGCAATTTGTCGGTTAATTCTTTACTAAATACCTATATATAAATCCTGGAGTTAACTGAAACAAGCGTATACATTTCGGGCATACCAACAGAATACTGCACTGATGTCCGCAACAAAAGTTTCAACTAATTAGTAATCTTTTGCTGCACTTTGCTACCTTCCTCAACAACTGTTCACACACGGCTATTTCTTAAACTGCGCGCAACAAAAAAGTAGCATACGCAACCAAGCTGCGATCGCAACATTGCAGGTTGTCTAGGTATTCACACTTACAGCAGATCAAGTTGCGCAGTTTTTTAATGTGCTGCGCAACAAAAGTAGCTATATCTGATACTACCTTTAGACTTCAATGGTAGGTAATTATTTTCTCAAAATTAACGTGAAACGATATGAAAAAGTTGTTTCACGTTCAGCCTTGACATTCATCGATATAGATAAAAACTTATATTTAACATAAAAATTCATGAAAGAAAAAGATAATCTAAATCAGTAGCACTACTATAACATATGTATGTAGATTAACACTAACACATGCGATTATCGCTATTTATGACGTAAACAATCTGTAATATTTGAACGCGATACCAAAGTTTACAGAACTCTACGCGATACCATTCATTACAGATTATATCTGACCTTCTTGCCTTGACTGGTTGGATTGTAAATGGAAAAAACAATATCGTGGTCCAATAAACCCAGAGAAATAAGTAAAAATAGAGTGTTCCTAACATAAGCAATAAATGGTATTTAATTCAGTTAATTATAAGCTAAAATGGTCCAACAATTCACCTGCGCACACGCGGCAAAATGCTATGTTTAGCTTGACAAAAATCGAAATTACAAATATTTTTTTTCGTATCTTAATCCACTCACTGTCGTTCTTATAAAATCTGTAGACCTAATTTTAAATGTTATAATTTTTTTCCGAGCAACTATAACGGTGCAAGCGCTACCGAAAGTTGATGGAGTCCGCACTTTCTGGGAAGAGCGTTAGCCTTGCACAAACATGGAACGCAAAAGAATGCCATTTACACCCAGCACAGCCATTTGAAAATTAATTATCATTATGGACAATATAGCTACAAACATGTAGTACAATTAAATAACATCAATATAATAAATTTAAAGGGTCAACTTTCGTTTAGCTGAAATCAGTTATTAGAAAAAAAATAATTTTTGTGTTTAAAAAGCTACTGTGAACCACGGAAAACACAAATTTCCTGCGGAAATGCGTAATTTCCAAATTTCTTTTAGAATAACCGAAATCTGCTATAAAAAATTCATTTTGCGTTTTATTTCTAATATTTTTCTGAACATATAAACACAAAAATTTTCCTGCGGAAATAAGCTGTTTTCATTTTCTAAGGAAATTTATTAGACTTTAGAATAGCTGAAATCAGTTATATAAAAAATAAATATATTTTTGCTTTTTAGAAGCATTCACGAATTGAGGAAAATAAAAATTTTCCTGCGGAAATAAACTGTATACTGTATCCATTTTCTGAGAAAATTTAATAAACTTTAGAATAGCTGAAATCAGTCATATAAAAAATAAATATATTTTTACCTTTTAGAAGCGTTTACAAACTCAGGACAAAAAATTTCCTGCGGAAATGCTTGATTTTCATTTTCCATTTTTGTAAACATAAATACATAAAAAATTATCTTTTTATCACTTTTGAACCAAAAAAATCATTTAAAAGTGTCTAAAATGCTAACCAATCTAATAATAAATCTAATAATATTTTTACAAAATCACAGTTAATTATTAAAATATAAAAACCACAGCTTAACACTCTCCACAAAGAAAAGCTAACCAAAGCAACCCAAATACTAACCAATCTAATAATATTTTTGCAAAATCACAGTTAATTAATAAAATATAAAAACCACAGCTTAACATCCTCCACAAAGAAAAGCTAACCTAAGCAATCCAATCTCATATTTTTGCAAAATCACAGTTAATTATTAAAATATAAAAGAAAACTGCATGCTATTACGTAAAGCTTTAATAAAAAACAAGAATAAGTAAGTGCAATATTCCGAGGTACTTATAGGTTTACATGAACCCATACATGAAGCTATATTTATCTATTCTACAAGAATTGTTATTCCTCCGAAAGATGTTTTACCCCACCCAGCACCCCTATTCGCTCCCGGGTCCCGTAAGATTCTAAACTGAAAAATGTATGAAAAACTAAGTGCACAAAATGACATTGACACATTTCTGCAGGAATTTTTTTGTATTTCTTTGCTCGTAAAGGCTCGTATAAAACACATATAAGTTCATTTTTCATGTAACTGATTTCAGCTATTCTAAAGTCGAAGCATTTTTTTATGTAAAATAAAAATAAAAAATTTCCGCAGACATTTATTTGTGTTTTTATATTTAGAGAAATGTCTAAAAGACACCCCGAAGACTAGTTTGATGTAACAGATTTCGGCTATACTAAAGTCCGAAAAATAAAAATGACGCATTTCCGTAGGAAACTTTTTGTATATTTGTACTTCTAACGCCTTCTAGAACGCATATATAAAGTCATTTTTTATATAACAGATTTCAACTAAACGAAAGTTGAGCCAATTTGTACTGTTTTGAATGTAGATAAGATATATTTTAAACACACTATTTTGGGTTTATTTTTTTATATTTGTTTTCATAATGGGTTATAGTTATGAGTTTCACGGAGTTCCGCTTTCAATTTAATAAAATTAAAATCACTAGTGTATATTTGATACAGGTATAAAAAAAATCAGCTTTCCCAAATCTGCCCTTTTTTTTTAAATAGACCAATTTATTTGCAGGGAGTCGCACTAATTTCTATACAAGTCCTGTAATATCAAGAAAGGATTTTTTTAGTTTTAAGAAGATAGATATTCTAAATTATGAATTTCTAAGTTTATTACAAGCTTTTTTTCATATATTATTGACAGTAGAAAAACATTCAAATGGTTGTGCTGGGTGTAAATGACACTCTTTTGCGCTCCACGAAAGGTGCGAACTACATCAATTTTCGGTAACGCTTGCACTACTCTAGTTGAATGGAAAATTTTATAATATTTGAAATTAGCCTTACAAATGTAATAAGCAAAACAATGTGTGGATCAACATACGAAAAAAGAATTGATTTGAATTTTGGTCAAGCTAAATATAGCATTTTGCCGTGTGTGACGCCTATATCGACAAGGAGACTTCTCTAGGTTTACTTGTTTCTCTGAACTTAATAATGATCGGTATCGATGTTTAGTAACGGTATAACAGCGAAAACACGCGATTTGACTTGACTTAAGTCGTAACGTAAGTCAAATCGCTTAGTCTAGCGATCGACAGCGTGGTGGGTTGATCGACATTCTATAATTAGGTACCAAAACTCGCGACATACGTATACCGGCATGCGTATTTTTAGTACTGTATTGGCGTACTAGTAAAACAATCAAGCTAGTACAACAAACAAGATTTGGAAATAAGAATATGATAGTGGGTTGAAAATCTATTAAGAAGAAGAAAAAAATTTAGTTTGGTTGGTAAAAAATTTTAGGATACTATGGCTACGGTGACGGTCGGTTTTGGGATTTGGGATTACGTCATTGTTGGCGTGGTCCTGTTGATCTCCGCCTCCATTGGGATTTATTACAGATTTACAGGAGGCAAACAGAAAACTGTTCAGGTAGGTCATGTAAATCATTTCTATTTTGGTTTAAATTTAAAATTTATTTTTTAATACCATGCTCATTATTGCAGCCCATTATTTAGATTTTTTTTGTTAAATTCTCAGCAGAGTGCAATGTTTCTCCTCTTATTTTATTCTGTTGCACAGGTGCCAAAATCCCTCATTTTAATACAAAAGAAAATTAAAAAAATGATGCACCTATTTAGTGTTTTTATAATTTTTTCGTTAAAAATAATTAAAAGTAGACGTTTTGATTTTTTTCATATTAGTATTATTTATTTTTTATCGTCGAATTAAATAAAATCTTCTGATCTATCTGCGTATTTATTTTGTTGAAAAACAATAATTTGCGTCAGACAATTAATTAATGAATGTTTGAATTTATCTAATTTTAATTAGGTATGTTTAGCTATTTAATAGAAACATGTCTATGAGTTTTTTACGCGAAAAAATCATTTTGAAAATTTTGAGAGAAAAACGGCTGAGAGGAAATAAATATGTTTTTGTCATACGCTCCCAAAAACAGCTATTTTACGGACTCATTTCAGTCCGTAAAATGTTTCTTTTTCGGCCTAGGCCGTAAAGGTCGTCATGGCAACCTTTATGGACTAAAATGTCTAAATTGTTGATGAATTTGTGTGATTTTGTGACAAATTTCGAATGACATGTCAAAATGCGATGAAATAAACAAACTCGTTACTAAGATATGAATTTATAAATAACTTTTTCAAACATTATAATTTCAAATATGGAAAATTTGCAAATATGCGTTCTAAAAAACTGTAAAAAGCGTATGACAAAAAATAGTGTATGTAACACGTACCTAAATTATGTTTTTTAGGACTCATCTACTATTTCGGACTCGGCTAACGCCTCGTCCGCAAACAGTAATGATTCGTCCTAAAAAACATCATTTTAGGTACTAGTTACATAAATAGCTATTCTTTTATATCGAGATATACGAGCCCTGAAAATATTTTCCCTTATTTAAGACTCACCCTGTATATTAAAATACAAAAATAGTAATATAAATAGTAATAAGTGCTTAAAATTTAAATTATTTTAAATTAATAAATACTAAAAAGTACTAAAAACGACAATTTATTGTGTACAATAAATTAAAAGAAACTTGAAGAAAAAAATCTGAAAAAAACAGAAACTTTATAAATATATGAGTACCTACTATCGTCTGATAAAAAAACGGCGTCAAAGACGTCCATGACCCCTTTTTATTTGGTAATATGGTACAATCCTTTTCCAAAAACATTTAAAAAAATAGGATTCTGAACCATCCTACCATAGCGTATGTTAAGACTATCATTATTGCTTAATCTTATACAATACAAACAATACTTAAAACTGAGTTCATTAAAAAAAGTTGTAAGGCGGCTTAAAAAGATCTAAGTTACATAAAGATGATTTTTTCCAAAAATAGATCTAGGAAAGATAGTCATTATCATATTATTTTTATCGAAAAAGGAAAGGATGTGGTGAATTAAAATCTTTGAGATAAGTAAATTTTAAGTAGTAAACATGTAGTACAAATCAATAGTATTTATATTTATATAATATAAGGATAATATCATTGAATATTATAAACATATATTTTTAATATTATTATAATTGTTTATAATATAATTATTAAATTTTTAGTACCCTCTTATTATTAGTTATTACATATTCTTACTTATTCATTGCATCAATCATTGTTTTTCTCTAAATCCACATATTTTCTGAGAGCTATATTCTGGGAAAATAAACTTTATTAAATATGTAGTATCGAAAAGTATACTTAATGTAATAAAAATGTTAACTTTTTATTATCCATTACTAACTAAATGAATTATCATGTACATATGCACTTGATGACCCGCTATTTTTAGCATGATTTGCAATTTTTTTGGGCTATATTAAAAAATATTGCCACAACAGATAATTTTTTTTTAAATAAGTTTTCCCTAAAACATACAGTGTGACCCACTCAAGACCGGGCACCCTCCATAAAATCTGTGTTTATAGTCCGATTTTGATGATTTTTTTTTCAAATATAAAGTTTCAAAAAATGTACTTTAGGGCTCAATGTCATGTTATTTCACAAAAAACAAGGCCTACTTAATAAAGTTTTTGTGGTGAAAAATTTGCAAAATCATATTAGCGATTTTTTTTCAAAAAATTTGAGTACACCCCTACATTCGGCATCCCTCAAAACAGTTCTGTACCAAATTTCGTTTAAAAATATTAATTATTAATAATTCTGCAGTTAAATTAAATAATTCCCTATTTTTGCCAATTTAACGATGAGTTATAACGTAACCCTTGAAAAAAACAATCCACAACAATGGGTTTTATTAGCTGTCAATTCTTGCAGCGTAGAATTGAATATTAATTTAATAGCACGCAGAAAAGTGTTGTATCAAGAAATATTATTTGCATTATGGAACAATTAAATATTAGGGATAAAATTGAAATGATTCGTTTAGTGGGTGATAACTATCTTCAAGCAGGAGAAGCTGCCAGAGAATTTAACAACAGACATCCCGACAGACCTGCAGTAAGTAGAAGCACGGTTCAACGAATAAATAGAGTTTTTAATGAAACTGGTTGTGTGTCAAAATACTTACTAAAAAACAGAAGGCCGGAACATTGAATAAATAGGCGGAATGAGGAAATATTAGAATATTTTCGTAACAATCCTCGTGCAAGCATTAGAGGCGCCAGTGTTGATTTGGATATACCAAGGGAAAATATTAGGAGATGTTTGCGAACTAATAAAGTTAAACCCTTTAAACCAAAGATTTTACACACTTTGGAAAACGGAGATGATGTTAGACGATTAGAATTCTGCTTATGGGCTCAAGCAGAGTATTTAAATAATAGAAATTTCTTAAAAGAAATTTTATTTAGTGATGAGGCAACATTTAGTACAAACGGAGTAGTATCCTCTCAAAATTCGCGATTCTGGGCAGTCGAAAACCCTGAATGGGTGATCAATACAAGAAGACAGTATTCTCAGAAATTAAATGTGTGGTGTGGCATACTTGATGATAGAATCATTGGTCCATATTTTTTTGAGAGAAATTTGAATAGTCCAACGTTTTTGAATTTTCTGATTAATGACTTTTGGGATGCAATACATAATTTACCATGCCAAACCCGTTTGAATTTAAAATTTCAATTGGACGGATCACCTGTGCATAACGCGGCAGTTGTCAGGGAATGGTTAAATGAAAATTTTGAAAATAAGTGTATAGGTCGAAATAGCCCGCTAATTGAGTGGCCACCGAGATCCCCGGACCTAAAACCCCTTGATTTCTTTCTTTGGGGTTTCTTAAAGCAACAAGTTTACAAGTCTAGGCCTCAATCTGTAGATGAATTACGTATTAGAATTACAGAGGCTTCTGCAAATATTACACCACAGCAGCTTAGGAATGTAACTGTTAATCTAAGAAAAAGATGCGACAAATATATTGAACTGAATGGAGGGCTGGTAGAAGCAACTAGAATTATTTGAATATGTTTAACTTATTATTCGGTTATTGTGTTGCTTGTAGTATTTTTATCATTGTTTGTAATAAAACTCGTTGTCGTGGATTGTTTTTTTCAAGGGTTACTTGATAACTCATCGTTAAATTGGCAAAAATAGGAAATTATTTAATTTAACTGCAGAATTATTAATAATTAATATTTTTAAACGAAATTTGGTACAGAACTGTTTTGGGGGATGCCGAATGTAGGGGTGTACTCAAATTTTTTGAAAAAAAATCGCTAATATGATTTTGCAAATTTTTCACCACAAAAACTTTATTAAGTAGGCCTTGTTTTTTGTGAAATAACATGACATTGAGCCCTAAAGTACATTTTTTGAAACTTTATATTTGAAAAAAGAATCATCAAAATCGGACTATAAACACAGATTTTATGGAGGGTGCCCGGTCTTGAGTGGGTCACACTGTAGAAGTAGAATGTTTAGGAGGGGAGTTAATCACCGCGACCTTATAGATCTATTGTGTGTTCACCTTTCTTGAGTTATAACGAGGTATAACTCATCATACAGGCTCAAGGCTTTAACAAAAGCCAGTATCTGAGACGGCTCCACAGAGGCCAGCTCTCCATCCTCGACAGCAGCCGTACCAAAGTTCATGGCACGAATGGTCGTCGTCTCGGCGCACTCAGTGATAAGGTGTTCTGGTGTTGCCCAATTTTCCCCACAGAATCTGCATTCGCCGTTGTTTCCCAGCTTCAGCCTACTGAGGTGTTCGTTGAGGAGACAGTGTCCTGTTAGAAACCTCGTGACAATCCGAAGATTGTTTTTACTTAAATCAAGGAAAACCTTTGATTTTTCTCGGCCGTAAGTTCTGAGGAACTTTTTCGAATGTCTTGGACCGTTGGAGGACACCCATTCCAAGTTACGGATGGAGTCTTCTAGATTCTTCAGTTCCGCTTTCAGTTGGTTCCCATTTCGAAAACAGAACGGTTCTGGTCCAGTTAGTGGAGAGTTCGCTCCTTTCTAGATCATTTGCTTTTTCATTGTCTTCTATTCCTTGGTGAGCAGGCACCCAGAGTAGGAGGACTTTATTTTCTTTGCCTAATTTGTTGAGCTTCTCTAGGCATTCTGTGACCAACTTCGAATTCACTAAAACCTAACTAAATGTCTCAACTATAAAGTAATTTGATTTTTAAGGATTCGTACTTCAAAAGGAAAAAACCTGAAAATAGAATGAGGGTGGCTCATTAGGATATTTGAAAAAAGCAAAAAGCATTTTTTACGAATAATTTGGTACCACACACTTGGTATTTCGAGTCAAATTATCGTTATGAACCGCATGTTACAATTTCAAATAAAGTATATGCGAAAATGTCAAAAGTTGACATATGATATGTCATTCTATAGAGAGTGTCATTTCCTATCGAATAAAGAAAAAAAATACCAAGGGTGCCATTTGAAAATCAAAATTTGTAGTCATTTCCGGTGAAACAGGAAGTGACCGAAAACAATCGAATACGTCAGTCAATCCTGATTTATGTCATATACCAATGGACCAAATCTCGTTTTTTTATCTGAAGAAAATAAAAAAGTTATAAGGGTGAGCCGCTTTTGAGAAACACCCGGTATATCTTTAATATTAACAAATGTAAATTAAGAATGAATTTACATTTTACCTGAATTATCATGGACATAATACTAAAAATGATAAAATATTTTATTTTTATTATATTATTGATTTGATGTCTATGAGAATTCAATGCAGTTAATGGAATTTTTTATTCATTCCATTCTTTTTTAAACCTCATTCAAGGTAGCGTGATAAAATAATTGCACTGTTTGTTATTTCATTATAATTGCATTCGCTGTTAATTTTTAAGTAGTAAAATTATTATCAAGGTTTTCAGAATAAATATAACAATAAAATTCATGTTATGCAAAAAGATAATTTACGGTTACTATTACTTCTTTATTTTTGGGGCTGTAATCTCCTCCGGAAACATTTTAAGGCATATGTTCATAGGAACTGTTTGTTTTGTTTTTATCTGTTTTATCTGTATATCCGTTACGGTTAAGGTCCAGTGTCCGGTTAATGTCGACATTACCCGGTTAATATTGAGAATAAAACACAACAAAACAACCAAAAACATAACCAAACCCAAACATTAACCTGTTAATGTCGACATTAACCGGACATCGGACTTTAACCGTAACATATCCACTGAAAAATAGCCATCTTATCTGATAGTCAAATAGCATTAAAAGCCATCAACTTAGTAACCATCAATTGGAAGTTGGTTAGAGAATACCTAGAGAAGCTGAACAAATTTGGTAAAGGAAATAAAGTTCTTCTACTCTGGGTTACGGCCCACCAAGAGATAATAATGAAAAAGAAGAGATGGTAATGAAAAAGCAAACAATCTAGCTAGAAAAGGAGTGAACACTTCACTAACTGGACCAGAATCGTTCTGCTTTTCAAGAGGAAACCAACTTAAACCGGGAGTCAAGAATCTGGAAGACTCCATCCGTAACGTGGAATGGGAATCCCCAACGGTCTAAGACACTGGAAGAAATTTTTCAGAACTTACGACCGAGAAAAAACAAAGATTTTCCTTGATTTAAGTAAGAACAATCTTTGGATTGTCACGGTTTTTTTTTAACAAGACACTGTCTCCTCAATGAACACTTCAGTAGATTGAATACATATAAGAAACAACGGGGAACTGGGAGGGAACGTCAGGGGAGGGTACTGTACCTTCCCCTGACGCTTGACGAGATACGAGAATTGAAATAGTCATTGACTATGAAAGGATTTTTTTTAATTAATATCCGACATATAAGAACACTTTGTATGCTTTTAATTATGTTGATTTATCGTTTATAATATGTTCGACCTAATTAAAAGCACAGAAAGTGTTCTTATTGACCAGGACAGATTAGTGGGGTTAACTCTAATCAATATCCATAAAGATATTGAAATAAATGTTGATGCTGTTATTGATAGGTTTTCCAAACAGCGTACTAGAAAACTTGATTTTGTTTTGTAGTTTTATTTATAGTTTATAGTTTTTATAGTTTTTTTTGATAGTTTAGAGTTTTTTATTTATAGTTTATAGAAAATTAACTAATAAACGTCGTTGTTTCATTTTTGTTTATGTTATTTACAAATCTATATTTTAATTTTTATGTTATGTTTTTATATCTTTTTGAAGACAAAAAAATCGGCGCTTTAAAAAAAAATCGCCGTCGTTTTAATTCGACAAAAAAATTCCGACGGTGATTTTTTTTGCGACTTAATCATAGTACAACCCCCATAGCATACACCTATCTACGCCCCTGGTAGCCATTATGAAATAATCATGTCTACCAGCGCGATCCCGGGGAAAGCAGGGTTGGCCAATCGAAAGGGTGAAATTTTGACACTAAAAATATTATAAGGTACACGAGTTATGCCAAATAGCTTTTATTTATTATTAAGAAACGTGGAAAATTGTTGGCAGACATTTTTCTCGTGGCTAAAATGCCGCCAGACAACGCGAAAGAGGCATGGAATTTTGACAAAAAAAAATAATCTCATACACACATGCCAATTGGTGTAATGTCCAATTTATTTATTTAAAAAGCCGTATGCAAAAGGGCAGATGAAAAAAATCGTGGCTCAATCAGCGGTAGACAGTTATCAAAAGCGCGATATTACTCTACAGGGTGAGTCTTGGATAAGTGCAAATACATATGTTTAGGGCTGGTATCTCGACAAAAAAAATATATTTTCTCTTTACCGTTTTTCAAATGAGTCCAAAATAACCGTTCAAGTTTGAAAATTTAAAAAGACATTTTTAGAAAGATTTATTTTTAAATAATTTTGTGAGTCACCTGTTTTTTTGCATCCGTTGCTTTTGCATCCATTGTTTTAGTGTCGTAACCATAAGGTAAAAACGTAAGCATGGTGGATTAAAAAATTATACCGTGGGTAAATTTGCGGTGAACAGGCAGTTGTACAAAGTTTTCTAAAATATAAGGGAAAATTTTTAAAAAATGCACGATTTCCAAGGCGGGGTGCGTTCCCTGAAAGCGCTAGAGTAATGATAAATCTCTGCCGCTGATTTAGCCACGATCTTTTTGTCTGCCCTTTTGCATACGGCTTTTAAAATGAATAAATATGACATTCCACAAATCGGCATGGATGTGAGCCATATTTTTTTCCAAAATGTCATGCCTCTTTCGCGTTGTCTGCCGGCATTATAGCGACAAGAAAAATGTCTGCCAACAATTTTTTATATAATAATAGCTCCCTAGGTATAGCGTTTTTTTAACGCCTTGGGAGTGGCAAGGTACAGCTTGCTATATTAGAGCCGTTCGGTATACAAGGAAGGTAATGTGGCACTACGCTTCAACCGCCTATTATTACCTCAGGATTGTGAATCCCAAGTACTCATTTAAGGCTGAGTCGACCTAGGTACCCAAACTATTTTTGTTTTAATAAAAATAGTCGACTGATGAAATGCCGGATGTGGGAATCGAACCCACACCTTGAGATTGGTAGACGAGAGCCTGTACCTCTACGCCACCGGGCACCTGCAACCATTTTTTACGTTCCTTAATAATAAATAAAAGCTATTTTCGCAATTATTACTCGTGTACCTTATAATATTTTTAGTGTCAAAATTTCACCCTTTCGATTGGCCGCTTCCGCTTGAAGCCCCGGGATCGCGCTGGCAGACATGACTATTTCATAATGGCTACACATAAGGAGACTTCACAAGAAAAATTAGCCATGTAACGATGATAAGGTTTTTTATGTAGCCAGCTCTTAGACTATGAGTGCGCCGAGACGACAACCATTCGTGCCATAAACTTTGGTAAGACCGATTTCTGAGATGAACAAACCTCTTTAAACCATTTCAGATACTGGTTTTTGTCAAAGCCCTGGCTGCCGATACCCGTTGCGTTCACTACTGCGCATCGGAAGAAGACCCTATATTTTTTATTAATTTAGTCCTATAAATTCTAGTATTGAATATAAATCGAGCATGTCTCCTTAGCGCAGTGCGTAGAGTTTGCGACCGCGAACCGATGAATCAGAGTTCGAACCCGGGTCAGGGCAAAGACTTCGGAAGGTCGGAAACTCTATGCACTGCGCTATGGAGACATGTTCGATTTATATTCAACTAGCGTGTACCAGCGACTTCGTTCGCGTCGAATTAATCATTTGTAATGGTGATGATAAAGCAAAGCAAGAATTTCCATGAACATACAAACTGGATAAAATTTTCTCACATTTATGTCAGCATGAGAAAAAACAATATGGCGATATTATTATATAACTTTGTAATATTTGAGGGGTAGTTTCATCTCGTTGGAATTTGACTTTCGAGAAATTCGTTTGCCAAAAATAAGCTTTTTACGTCAAGCAGTTGAAGCAGAATCGTGGTTAAGAAATTACCCAACTTTTTGAAACACCCTGTATGATTTTTTAAAAAAATTTAAAATAACTAAATAAATTATGCTTGTCCACGCGTTTTCCCGAAAGACTAACCGTTTAAATAACAAATATTGTAATCTTTGAGGGACGTTTTCACCCTCTTGGAATTTGAGATTCGAGAAACCCTTCCTTATAGAACCTCTACACCCCACAGTCAATCCGTTTCCCAAAAATCAGCTTTAAAAGTCAAACAGTTTAAGCAGAATTGTGATTACTCAATGGTCATATTTTATGAAACATCCTGTATAAATTTATAAAAAATCTTAAAATATGTAAAACAACAAAATAAAATATACGTGTTTAAGAGTTTTTCCGAAAAACTCACCGGTTTTTAAATAAAAAATATTTTAATATTTGAGGGATAGTTTCACCCCCTTAGAATTCGATTTTCGAAAAATCCCTTTTTATCGAACCTCTACACCCTAAAGTCAATCTGTTTTCCAAAAATCAACTTTTTACGTCAAGCGCTTTAAGCAGGATCGTGATTAATCAATTACCAGATTTTTCGAAACACCCTGTATACATTTTTAAAAAACCTTAAAATATGTAAAAAAACAAAATAAAATATACGTGTTTAAGCGTTTTTTCGGAAACTTGACCGTTTTTTAAATAAAAAATATTGTAATATTTGAGGGGTGGTTTCACCCTCTTGGAACTGGAATTTCGAAAAATCCCTTCTTATCGAACCTCTACATCCTAGAATCAACCTGTATGCCAAAATTGAGCTTCTTGCGTTGAGTGGTTTGAGCAGGATCGTGAATAATCAGTATGTCAGTCACTTAAGGATTTTATATATTAGTATAGATACTAGAATTTAAAGGACTAATAAAAATATAGGATCTTCTTTCAATGCGCAGTAGGGAACGCAACGTTTACCGTCAGCCAGACGGGCCGCATGCTGTTCTAGAGAGCATAGTAAAAGATATATCAAAGAGCCAGACCTCTTAAAATACTTGTTTTTCCGACTTTGCTGGCTCTCGTACTATATATTTTTTTCTGTTTCTTTTGCAGGAATACCTTTTGGCTGATAAAAATATGTCCATAATCCCGGTGGCGTTTTCACTGATGGCCTCCTTCATGTCCGCCATCACTATACTGGGTGTATCAAGCGAGAACTACACTTACGGATTTCAATTCGTCATCATCAACGTTTCGCATTTAATTTTCACCCCCGTCGCTGTCTATTTGTACTTGCCGGTATTTTTTAAGCTGCAAACAACCAGTGCCTACCAGGTGAGTATTCAGGAGATTGTACTAACTATGGAGCGATCAACAATGATTGAAATAGTTGGCTATTCTGGTTTTGCTCTTTTGGTTGGTAATACATTTAAGAAATTTTAATATTTTTCGGCTGTTATCACTAGCATCAAAGCGAACCAAAAATTTGAAGAAAATATTTTTTTTGACAATATTTAAATTAGTTTAAATCGAGCTCAATTTTTATCAGAAACATGACGGTGAAAACCGCAAATTTCAAGAAACCGCCAATTTCAAGAATAGTTGAATAGCTAAACCAAGATCCCAGCTGTTGGCCATCGAGGCCGCCGAGCTTAGTGCTGATAATTTTTTTCCTTTGCGGAAGAATAAAGGTTTCTATTTTTAAATTTCCCGTATAATCTAGACAAGAATTAGAAGTAGTTAGCGGATATGCGAGGGTATCTTAACCAAGATCGGTAAACTAATAGGATTGCTCATCCTCATAAGACGTACGTTCGCCTCTTCCCGCGCTTTAGCTGACAGTTCTGACGTCATTGTAGTCCTTGTCACAGCCTTCGTGGCCTTGTCATGATAGTGTGTATTATTAGTTGCCTATGGTAAACTTATAAAAATAACAGCTGAGAAATTTTGAGTTAATTATTTTGTCAATTTTAAATGTGAAAAAGGTGTCTTTAAAGTTTTTAGAGCTACAGAGTGTATAAATACGTTCACTTTGTGTTGTGGATTGTGACAAAGTGCATACTAAGTGCCCACGATTTTGTTTATTAATTATTTTAAAGCAAAATATGGAAGTACTCTAAAAAGAATGCTTGCAAAAGGTGATGCTGGAAACTGCTGTTCTTAAAAATGCATTATCCGAGTATTTAATACGATTTATACAGTTAATTTTCTATACTGCATACATATAACGTGTTTAAATAAATAAACTAAATAATGAACGTTTTGCATTCGGTAACCAATAATGCACGTGTGTGTATTGTTGGTTGCCGGATAAGGACTAATAACAATAACCATGACAAGGGCTACAATGACGTCACAAAGCGAGTAGTTTTCGCATGCACCTGGCGGACACTTTTGGCTGAATGAGCAGTCCTATTAGGTTAACTGTTCTTGAACCCCACCGAGTTAATAAATTCCGCGAGAAATGTTCCAAAACGGTCCCGTCTGTCAGACGGGACCGTTTTGGAACATAATGAAACAGAAGACGGTCGACATGTCGAACACCTGTAGCAAAATCTCATGTCTTGGTTTGTCAAAATTTTTATTGTTATTAGATATAGTTTAAATGTGTTGATGTTGTTAAATATAATTTAAATTGTTATAAAATCGTGCATCTCTTATTGCAAATATTATTTTCGTTTTAACTTCTGCTCACAGCTAGAATTTTTTTGCATTACAACCGGCGCAGTTCACAGCCTACTTATTCAAAATGGGGAAAAAAATATTTATAACTAATGAGACCACGACAAATTACGGGAAATTATTTTCAAGTTTGTAGGACGGCCGCTAGAGAGCGTAACTGCTATGGAAAATAACAAAATGAAATTTTTAAGAAATTTTGCCTAGATACGATATACTATAAATAATAGCTTCATAATTTTCAGTAAATTTTGGATCTTTTATATTAGAACCATTTTGCCCTATCTGCTAAAATAAAGTGGTGGGGGGAGGTTAGATCTGTTTCTATCTAAATATTAATAACTCCGGACTGGATGATCGCAATCCAACAAGCGAGTGCTCGTTTAAAAGAGCGTTTTTTACTCTGAATTGTACCATATAAACAATAATAATAAGTTTTGGAACGTAGACGCTAGGGGGCGTTGTCTTACAATTTAACAAACATTGCGCGTTTTTTCAAAAAAATTAAATGCGATAGTATATGTAATTTTAGCTGATAGTAAAGAGTAATAAAAGCTTAACAAGTCAGCGAAAACCGCATCTCGATATCTTTTTTCAAAAAATTCAAGCCCTTAATAATCTTATTTTTCTAACAGGGAATCACTAGCCTTCTTGATTATGAACATTCTAATTAAAAATAATATAGAAAAGATTATTTTATTCAAAATATCGACAATGAATCAGAAAACCATAATATTAGGTGTATTAATATCTAATAATTAAGATACCAATGACGGTGGATAAGAAACGACATCTCAGTGAATTCATGGTAGGCTTTGGAAAAAAGTTGCTTTTAAACGGATAGTTTAAACATCAAAATATCATTATATCAACATTTTGATAGTCTCAGCAGCCTTTTTTTTATCTTTTGATTGGTTTTCTAAAAATGCCTTTCTTCAACAGAGAAAAAACGCTGCTAAGACTATCAAAATGTTAATCTAATAACACTTTGACGTTTATACCATTACGTCAAAAGCAACTTTTTTCCAAAGCCTACCATGACTTCACTGAGACGTCGTTTCTTATTAACTGTCATTGATATCTTAATTTTTAGATATTAATATATCTTGGATTATGGTATGGTTCGTTATCGAATGTTCATAATCAAGAGAGCTAGTAATACCGTGTTAGAAAAATAAGGTAATTAAGTGCTTATATTTTCGTATTTATTATAATTTTGCTAATAACTTTGGGTTGAAAAAAGATATCAAGATGCGGTTTTTGCTGACTTGTTAAGCTTTTATTACTCTTTACTATCAGATAAAATTACATATACTATCGCATTTATTTTTTTTTTGAAAAAAACGCGTAATGTTTTTTAAATTGTAAGACAACGCCCCCTAGCGTCTACGTTCAAAAGCTTATTATTATTGTTTATATGGTACAATATAGAGTAAGAAATGCTCTTTTAAATGAGCCCTCGCTTGTTGGGTTCCGATCATCCAGTCCGGAGTTATTAAAATTTAAATAAAAACAGATCTAACCTCCCCCCACCACTTTATTTTGGTAGATAGGGGAAAATGGTTCTAACAAAAAATATTCAAAATTTACTGCAGATTATGAAGCTATTACATATAGTACACATTATCTAGGCAAAATTGTGTAAAAACTCCTTTTTCTTATTTTTTTGTTGCAGTTGCGCCCCCTAGCGGTTGTTCTACAAACTTGAAAATAATTTCCAGCAATTTCTCATAGTCTCTTTAGTTACAAATATTTGTTTCCGCAGGCTCTACGGCTAATACTTTCCGAGATACAGCCGAGAGCTATTCTTAGTGGGACACCCGGTACAACAAGACTGCAATATTCTAGTTATATCAACAAAAATATCTTTTCTAATTTTACACAATTTTTACTTCATTTAACATTGACATTGTCATTGCTGACGACATTTGGCCCTAGTTTAAATCAGTTTATTTTTAAGCAGTGCGCTATTTCAATTTTGACTTTTAATATGATTTATTTTAATATACAGGGTCCGGCAATAGTGCGTCGGGCATCTCTAGCTCCTAGAATAAAAAACTTGAGAATTTTGTTTAAGTGCAAACCTATAGTATGTACCAGGATGTATTTCCGGAAAATATTTTAACTTCTATAGGGTGGCTCAAAAAAGTGCGAGTGTATCTGGCTGACTTTTTTTAAATGGAACATCCTGTATATTATTGCATTTTTGGCTTCAATTATCAATATTTTATAAAAGGAATAAGTGACAGATTTTCTTTTTATTTAGTATTTAGAATTACGCTTTGGAAAGACATCAAGACTGGCTGCCTCCTTATGTTACACGTTGCAAATGATTTTGTACATGGGTGTAGTGGTTTACGCCCCAGCCCTAGCTTTAGAAGCCCTAATTGGAATCAACAGGGTGTCAGCAGTATTATCAATGGGTAAATATTTATTTACTCATTATTTGTTATAGCAAAGTTTACAGAATATATATTCTGTAAACTTTGGTTATAGTGTGCTGTGTAAATTCGTAACAATATTTAACATATGTTGAAAAAACAACTGGGTATTTCACCATTGAAAAATAAATAATATGAAAAAGTTTTTTTTTTGTAAAATGCCATTGCGTCAGAATCCAAGCAGTAACCAATTTGTCAGTAGCTTTTTACTCGAAAAAAAAACTATTAACCGACAAAAAATGTTTGAGGAGGTGTATCGGTGTATCTTCCACCCTCAATAGAAGCAAAAAAAAGTAAATGAATAAAGAAAAACTAATTAAAATGTCTAAATGTAACTACTTTGACAGCACTTTGTTTTTTTTTGCACAGAAATATCTATTAAAACCTTTGACGGTTGTGATAAACTGACAATGTATAAAATCAAACTTCAAATTAACAATGACTACCTGATAACAGTTACCTAATGAGGTAAGACTAAAAAAACATAAGGTGTTTGTATTTAATATACAGACATATTTTTCTGTATTTTATATACAGGCATCTTGATCCATATTTATCCATCGTTATCCATATTTCATAGACAGATATTTCTGTGACTGTATTTCATATTGTCTGTATTTAATATACAGACGTTTCTGTCTGTATTTCATATACAGACATATTTGGCTGTATATCATATACAGGCAGCTTTATCCATATTTAATACACATACATTTCTGTTCTGTGTTTCCTATTGTCTGTATTCAATATGAGACATATTTGTCTCTATTTCATATACAGATATCTTTATCTGTATTTCATACACAGATATTTCTGGGTCTGTATTTCATATTGTCTGTACAATATAGAGACATTTCTGTTTGTATTTCATATACAGACATATTTGTATGTATTTCATATACAGGAATCTTTATCCATATTTCATACACAGATATTTCTGAGTTTGTATTTCATATTGTCTGTTTTTAATATACGTACACACATTTCTGTCTGTATTTGATATTTATACAGGGTCCGGCAATAGTGCGTCGGGCATCTGTAGTCCCTAGAATAAAAAACTTGAGAATTTTGTTTAAGTGCAAAGCTAAAGTATGTACCAGGATGTATTTCAGGAAAATATTTTAACTTCAATAGGGTGGCTCAAAAAAGTGTGAGTGGACCTGGATGATTTTTTTAAACGGAACACCCTGTATATTATTACATTTTTGGCGTCCTTTCGGACCACTTTACATAACTCTAAGATATGAATAAATACATTTCGATAGTTTCAGAGATATTAAAAAATAAATCAAAAATATATATTTTTCAGCCCTTCTTAAAAAAAAAAAATATTAAAAATACAATAACTGTTCTGAAATCAAAACTATACTAAGTATTTACTTTAGATGGTCTGTACTTACTTTGCTATAAATATGAAAATCTTAAATTATACAGGATGTTCAAAATTCTACGCCAAACTTTCTAAAATATAAAATAATTTTTCTCCTTTTTTTTTTAAATGGAACACCCTATATATTATTTTTTCAATAGATGGATAATTAAAAAATGAACATTTTTTGTATTTAGAGTAATTCAAAATTTTTAACGGTGTCGCAGATATTTGCGGTTTTATATTTCATATGGAATTTTCCACAGTAAATTTTTATCAAAGCCACCCAATGATTTTTCTCTCGTATTTTACCATTGAAAGCGCCATATGAAATAATACTGCGTATATCTGCGAAACCGATGAAAATTTTGAAATACTCTAAATACAAAAAATGTTCATCTTTTAAGTCTGCATTTAATAAAAGAATAATATACAGGGTGTTCCATTTAAAAAAACAAAGAAAAATTATTTTATATTTTAGAAAGTTTGGCGTTGAATATTGAACATCCTGTATGATTTACGATTACCATATTTATAGCAAAGTAAGAACAGACCATCTAAAGTAAATACTTCATATAGTTTTGATTTCAGAACAGTTCTTGTATTTTTAATAATTTTTTTAAGAAGGGCTGAAAAATATATTTTTTTGATTTATTTTTTAATATCTCTGAAACTATCGAAATATATTTATTCATATCTTAGGGTTATGTAAAGTGATCTAAAAGGAAGCCAAAAATGCAATAATATACAGGGTGTTCCATTAAAAAAAAATCATCCAGGTCCACTCACACTTTTTTGAGCCACCCCATAGAAGTTAAAATATTTTCTTGAAATACATCCTGGTACATACTTTAGGTTTGCACTTAAACAAAATTCTCAAGTTTTTTATTATAGGAGCTACAAATGCCCGACGCACTATTGCCTGACCCTGTATAGATATATTTGTCTCTATTTCATATACAGGCATTTTTATCTGTATTTCATACAGTGAAATTTATGTGTCTGTATTTCATATTGTCTGTACAATAAACAGACATTTCTGTCTGTATTTCATATAGACATATTTGTATATATTTTATATATAAATAATATAGGATTCTTTATCAGTATTTCACACACATATTTAGAGACAATATTTCATATTGTCTTTATTTATTATACAGACATTTCTGTTTGTATTTCATATACAGACATATTTGTCTCTATTTCATATTAAGACATCTTACAGGTTTACTTACTTACTTACTTACAACTTTATCTGTATTTCGTACATCGGTATTTTTGTGTCATATTCTATAGGTATTTTTGTGTCATATACAGGCATATCTGTCTGTATTTCAAACTGATATTAATAGAATTTCGAAGTTTCCATTGCCTTTATTTAAATTAAGTTACATTTATATATATATATATATATATATATATATATATATATATATATATATATATATATATATATATATATATATATATATATATGTATTTCAGATACATATAGACTTTTTCTCAATAATAAAAAAACTTTCCACACCTATTTGGCACACCCTGTATAACCAAATAATTTACTTAGAAAACGTCGAATCGAAAAATTTTGTTTGAAAAATATTTTTTGGTAAAAAATAGATCTTATTTATGCCTTGTATATTTCAGGTACAGTTTGTGCATTTTACTCAACTATTGGAGGGATGAAAGCAGTGTTGATCACGGATGTTTTCCAATCACTGCTGATGTTTTTGGGAGTTTTTAGCGTGATAGGAGCCGCCTTGTATCAATACGGAAGTTTTGGAGAGATCTGGAGAATAGCCAGTGAAGGAAACAGGACTGACATATGGAAGTGAGTAGCTAAAAATATCAAAAATATTAATATAACATACAAGATTTCTTTTAAAAATAAATTTTTGCCATTTGAAAAGAAATCTGCAAAATTTGTTGAATCCAAACGAAAATCAGCTTGTCAGTGGCTTTTTACTAGTAAAACAATTTGCCAAACCGACAAAAATACTTAATGTTTCAGAATGTATATCTCCATCTTTTGACACATTTTTATTTGCATAGATTCTCTTTTTAGTTTTGATCCAGATCCCACAGTAAGACATTCTTGGTTCACGCTTATCTTGGGAGGTGGAGTGACATACCTGTCATTGTACGGCGTGAATCAAACCCAAATTCAACGATATTTGACTGTAAAGGATCTGAAAAGCGCCCAGAAAGCTCTTTGGTTGAATTGGCCCATTCTGTTTTGCTTGGGTCTAGCTACGTCCTTTTCTGGATTGGCTATTTACTCAAAGTATGCCCAATGTGATCCAGTCAGGGCTGGGTATATCAATAATACCGATCAGGTAAGATTAACATAGTATGTTCTTATTTGAAAGATTTATATCTGTTACACACTTTCAGTAGCTTGAAGTTGAAGGAGATAAAATTATTATTTCAAAGTAACCGATAGAACTGTTATTGTAAACTGTTATTTAAAAATAACAGTTTATAATAACAATTCTGTCATTTCGAACTGATATTACTGACTGTTATCAGTCACAACTGTTAACAGTTTAAGGTTTGTTTTATTACAAACTGTTAACAGTCAAAATATTAAAGGGAAATCAGTATATTTTAACAAATATTTTTGATATCATAGTACTTTACAACTTTTCAAAACACATTGCGAACCTTTGTGTTAGCACAGGGTTATTTTAATATGTGTTATTTTAGGAGTAATAACTGTTATTTATAAATAACAGTTATAAACTAACAGCGCGTTATATTACAATCCATCTCTAGTTTAGACGTATTATGTTATTAATATAAGGTACGGTTATTTCTAAATAATAGATAGAATAGTTACTGTAAACTGTTATTAATATTAAAAATAACAGTTTAATAAATAACTGGTTTCTGTTATGGTAAACCACTATTAATAACTGTTAGCAGTTAAAACTGTTAAATAGTCAAAATATTAAAAAAAACGAATATGTTAAAAAATTTAATGTGACACTACACTTTTCAAAAACACATCGCCAACTTTTGTTGTCAGTGCACTGTTATTTTAGAATTATTTTCGACTGCTCGAGTAACAACTGTAGTGGACTGTTATTTATAAATAACAGTTCGCTACATAAAATAACCGTCTGTTAGATAACAAACCATATTTAGTTTAAACTTGACATATCATTCAATATAAGGTACTGATATTTCTGAATAATATATGGAATTGTTACTCTAAACTGTTATTTTAAAATAACAGTTTAAGATAACAGGTTTCTGTTATTTTACACTTTTATTAATAACTGTTGTCAATCAAAACTGTTACGGAGTCAAAATATTAAAGAGAAACGAGTATATTTTAATAAACATTTTTAATATGACACTACACTTTTCAAAATCACATTGCGAACCTTTTTGTCATTGTTCTGTTACTTTTCTGTTATTTTTGGAGTAACTACTGTCGAAAACTGTTATTTATAAATATCAGTTTTAAAATAACAGTGCATTAGATAACAACCTATCTCTAGTTTAAATGTAATATATGATTCAATATAAGGTCTGTTTCTTTTGTAGCTGATGCCGTACTTTGTTGTGGATACAATGGGACATGTACCGGGTCTTGCAGGATTATTCGTAGCGGGAATTTTCAGTGCATCTCTATCAACTATTTCGGCGGCACTCAACAGTTTAGCTGCTGTAACTATGGAAGATTACTATAAGGTTTGTATGTTTGCCAGCCCATAATTTTTCTAGTCCACTGCCATTTTAAAGACTAGTGTGACGCTGTTTTTTTTTTTGGATTATAACGGTATATGTTTATGTAAAGAATTACTTCTTTTTCAGCCTTTTTACAGATACTTAGTTGGTCATGCTCTGTCGCCAAATAAAGCAGCCATACAAACAAAATTACTTGCTCTATTTTATGGTGTGATTTGTGTAGCTGTAGCGTTCCTTGTTCAACATTTGGGAGGTATTTTGAGTGCCTCCCTCACCATTTTTGGAGTAGTTGGAGGACCGTTGTTGGGTATCTTTACTCTGGGAATGTTTACTTTAACTGCCAATGAAAAGGTAAACATTCTTTCTTAAATTATGTTTTCCACTGTTTTTTTAATAAATCTTGTTTTAATGTTTTCAGGGATCTATTGTAGGACTACTTAGTGGACTATCACTAGGATTGTGGATGGGTTTTGGTCCCAAGCCTCCTCCTCAACGTTTACCAACTTCAATAGAAGGCTGTGAACAAGTTCTGTATAACAGTACATTGCTAGTGTCAAAATCTAATCAAATAAATGACACGTAAGTAGTAATAATTGTTACAGTATACAGGGTCACTGTGATGTATGAAAACGGTCGATTATTAGGTAAAATATACAAGGTACCGTAAAAAATTAAATACAAAAGTTATAGGGATTTTAAATGTATAGTAGCTAGGTCGGTCATAAAGTTGTGGCACATGAAAATTTATTTTTTTAAATGCAGCCCCCTGTATATTATTGTATATTTCAATTCTTCCTTCAATTTTAAGCAATAATCGTAATACACATGATTATGAAATGTTAAACGAAAATTTTGTAATTTCCAGACTTGATACAATCTCGTTTTATGTATAGCCCGGAGCCTATACAGGCCGAGGTTCAACAAATTAGAGACAAGCTGAAATTTGGCATGGAGCTTCATTTTGTAGATCTTTAAACATCCTGAAACCCCAGCGATGAACCATTGAGCCCGTCACCCCAAAACCACGCCTACAAGTGGTAAAAATGGCCCTTTTTTGATTTTTCTTCAATAACTCTAAAACTACGAGTTTTAAGAAAAAAAGTCACGAGTAAAAAAATGAAGAGAAGAAAATTTCCTACCACACAGGTAAAGAACCAAAATTTTTAGAATTTCAGTGGCGCAGGTGCGAATTCTTTAATTTAGGAGGATTGGTTTTAATAACCCACCATTCTGTGTTTAACTTCAAATGAAAGCATTTTTGAGATAAATCTCGAGACCAAAAAATTTATCAGGATACAAGGTCCTATTAAAACGATCTTTTTAATAAAGATAAGCTACCAGTGGCGGAGATAATTTTTTTAAATGTGCGTTTTTTACATTTTAAAAACATTGAATAAGAAAAATTGCAGTTTTACAAATAATTTCCCATGAAATACGTATTTTGAAAAAATTACACGTTTAATAACAAAATAAGAAAAACATTAGCTCAAAAATAGGACAACTTATCTTAAGGATAGTACTCATTCACTTCCACATTTGTTGGGTTCATACATGTAATGCCATTGCATTGACCAGATGCCATAGTGCAGGTGAGTCCCATTCGCTTGCATGTACATGCTTTTTTACAGCCTCCCGAAGAGCAATTGCAAAACATTTTCTATAAAACCCATGTAGGAGCAATGGGCTGGTCTGAATGTATTGGATTCATCTCTCGATTTTTCAGATTCCAACCCCAATCTTGCGGTGGTAAATTGTATTTAATCTGTACCATTGTTATTTAGCCTGTACCTGTCAGTTAAAAATGAGAATTTAGTTTAACATTTGAATGCAACATAAATTTAACTTACCTGATGAAAAACTCTAAGTCCATGATATTTCGCACTATTGGAGGTAAGTGGTAATGATGCCAAGTTGAAGTTGGTATTAAGACTTCGTTTAGCTACGTACTGTTGATAAAGCATGTATCTGGCACTATCTAAATCTACTTTTTTTGTCGAGTTTTTAACATATGCTGCTATAAAAAAACTGAGATGTAACTTCTTCTAACTTCTCCTTTGTAGCCTCGGAATTATAAAATTCTTTTAATAGCCCACATAACTTTTTCTTCTGAATGGTGTTCAAATTAATCAATCTTCCCTTTATTGAACACAGCAGACGTTGTGTCACAACCATATATAGCATGGACACCAAGAATCACATTCTTCAGATCCCCCAATTTTTGTTGTAAGGCCGATATGTCGATTATTTTATTTGGTTTTGACACCTTTCCCGGACGAATCATAAACAGTCTCTTGTGGCAATAATGAATCAGTAACACTATAATGTCTGTATCTTCGCTAACTACTGCTACGGTCCCTTCTGGTAAATTTTCACTTATTGCGACCGCTGTAGTTACAATAAGAGTATCGGCATCACCATCAGCGAATTTAACATTGATTCCATTTTCCAACAATACTTTTTCAGTGCACGAATGAAGTTGCTTTTGTTGGTGTTGTTTGACAAAAAATCTGCCTTTGGTACCTTCACTGCAGATAAATTCGAGAAAAATACAATTGGTACCATTTTTTTATCTGCAGATCTGCGATTCTGCTCCACAATTTTGGTCTGTATCTCTTCATAGTCATTAAAAACAACAGTGACATTTTTACCATAGTGATGTGTTATATAATTATAGTATTGAGAAAACAGATCTGAAAATATCGCAGGGTACAGGCTTGGTTAAATAACAATTTACCACCGCAAGATTGGGGTTGGAATCTGAAAAATCGAGAGATTAATCCAATACATTCAGACCAGCCTATTGCTCCTACATGGGTTTTAGAGAAAATTTTTGCAATTGCTCTTCGGGAGGCTGTAAAAAAGCATGTACATGCAAGCGAATGGGACTCACCTGCACTATGGCATGTGGTCAATAAAATAGCATTACATGTATGAATTCAACAAATGTGGAAGTGAATGAGGACTATCCTTAATATAAGTTATCCTGTTTTTGAGCTAAGATTTTTCTTATTTTGTTATTAAACATGAAAATTTTTTCAATATATGTACCTATTTCATGGGAAATTATTTGTAAAACTGCAATTTTTCTTAATCAATGTTTTTAAAATGTAAAAAACGCACATTTAAAAAATTATCTCCGCCACTGGTAACTTACCTTTATGACAAAGATCGTTTTTATAGGAACTTGTATCCTAATAAATTTTTTGATCTCGAGATTTATCTCAAAAATGCTTTCATTTGAAGTTAAACACAGAATGGTGGGTTATTAAAACAATCAAAGTGTGGTAGGAAATTTTCTTCTCTTCAATTTTTTACTCGTGACTTTTTTTCCTAAAATTCGTAGTTTTAGAGTTATTGAAGAAAAAGTAAAAAAAGGGCCATTTTTACCCCTTGTAGGCGTGGTTTTGGGGTGACGGGCTCAATGGTTCATCGCTGGGGTTTCAGGATGTTTAAAGATCTACAAAATGAAGCTTCATGCAAAATTGCAGCTTGTCTCTAATTTGTTGAAGGTCATGTAAAACGATGTATCGGCCCTGAGCTAACATTTATAAATGCTAACTTGGAATCGAATGTCAATATTATTAAGTATCACAGTTTCCGCAGAATGGCATCGTTAAATGAAACCAAACACATCGAAATTAATTAAATCGAATTGTTTAAGTGATATTTTCAAAAGTCAATAACTCGGAAACGGTTGGTTTGAGGTACATTGTGTGTATCTCGATTTCTCGAGCATTCTTGAAGGAAGAATTGAATATGCAGTAATATATAAGGGGAATACTTTTAAATCTAACTTTTTGCGGTACCTCGTATATTTTACCTAATAAACCAATCCCATACATATCAGCGACCCTGTATAATAGTAAATGAGATCAGTTTCCATTTCTATACAGGGTACCTTTTTGCATATGCTTGTAATTTTTCTGTCCCATCTAACTGGTCGTTTTTGTTATGTTTCAGGGATTATATGTGGTTATACCGTGTATCCTACCTCTACAATGGACTTTTCGGTTTCCTAGTCACTTTTTTAATAGGTTATGCCGTGAGTTATATTTTCAGGAAAATCTCTGGAAGATCGGTGGATGAAGAAGACTACGACCCGAAACTTTTTGTCTCGTACTTATCCAGAACGCTCAAGTCAAGGAAGTTAGGAAATAAGACTTTTATGCTAGTTAAAAGAGCAGAGTCCTGTGATAAAATCAACGAAAACTGCCGTATTGAGAAATACAGTAGAGTTGAGATAAATTAATTTCATAGAGTAAGTAGTTATATTTTTATATTTTTAAAAATAAATTATTTTTTTAAAATCCTTTGTATTTTTTGTTTCCATACACATCAAAATTAAACACTAGGTAAATAACTACAATACACCAAAACACTTTTATATTTACACTGGACGTGCGTTTCGCTAACCATATTAGCATCATCAGCAGAAGATTAAATTAATGTTAAAACTTAACTTAAAGCTAGTTTTAATCATCTGCTGATGATGCTAACATGGTTAGCGAAACGCGCGTCCAGTGCAAAAGTAAAGTCTTTCAGTGTATTGTGGTGATTTAGTGTTTTATTTTGCTGTTGTAACACGAAAGCTTCCAACCCCCAACTGTAATCCATACACATAATATATATATATATATATATATATATATATATATATATATATATATATATATATATATATATATATATATATATATATATATATATATATATATATATATATATATATATATATATATATATATATATATATATATATATATATATATATTGATGTAGTACCGAATAATTTACCTGGGGTGCAGTTGAGAGCTCAGGCCGAAATTGATTTTGAGGTGGAAAGTGACAACGATTGGGACAGCGATGATGGCTTACCATTGTCAAATTTTATAGAGAGGCGACCTAAAAATAGCAAGACGTTTGCTTATACCCTAAATAAAGATTTAGAGAATTCGTTTTTGGAATGGCAACCAATTCAAAATGTAAAAATAATCGTTCACCTGGAACTACATTTAAGATCTTTTTTGATAAAGACTTAGTAGAAGAAATTGTTAATTTTAGCAATGTATATTCACAGCAAAAAAACCGCACCGGTGACATTACGGTAGACGAGATGTACTGCTTCTTAGGGGTGTTACTTGTCAGTGGTTACGCAAGCGTTTCAAGACGGCATATGTATTGGCAGAACTGCGATGATACTCAGAATAAGCTTATATCAGCCGCTATATCCAGAGACAGGTTTCAATTCATAATGAGTAATCTTCATTGTAATGATAATACGACTCTTGACAAAAATGACAAATACTGTAAACTTCGCCCATTATTTAACAATCTAAATAAAAAGTTTTTTGATTTTGCACCAATTGAACAGAACCACAGCTTTGACGAAGCAATGATACCGTACTTTGGGAGGCATACCTGCAAGCAGTTTATAAGAGGAAAGCCGATAAGGTGGGGGTATAAATTTTGGGTAGGTACTCTACGACTAGGATATATAGTTTATTTTGACCCGTATCAAGGTTCGTCGACAACAATTTCAGAAAAATATAAGCATATGGGTTTGGGAGCGTCAGTTGTACTCCAATATGCCGATATGTTGCAAAAAATGCCTTATCAGCCCTTCCATCTCTTCTTTGATAACTTCTTTTCTTCTTTATCGCTTCTAAAAGAGTTAAAATTGAGGAATATTCAGGCAACTGGTACTATACGCGAAAATAGGATCCCCAAATCACCATTCAGTAACTCGACAGTTTTAAAGAAAAAGGCTAGAGGCACATTTGAATATGGAGTTGCTGACAATGAAATCGCCTTGTGCAAATGGAATGACAATAGCGTCGTTACATTGGCCACTAATGCTTGTACAGTTTTTCCAGTACATAAAGTGAAAAGATTTTCTCAGTCTGAGAAAAAGCATGTGAGTATAGATCAGCCACGATTAATTAAAGCATATAACGAAAACATGGGTGGCGTAGATCGCAGTGACCAAAACATAGGCCAATACAGAGTTTCCATACGTGGTAAGAAGTGGTATTTTCCTTTGTTTTCGCATTGTGTCGACATGGTAGTACAAAACTCATGGCACCTTCATAAAAATGATGGTGGTACCCTTGACCAACTACAATTTAGAAGAGATATCGGTACAGAACTATTAGAATCCCACAAGAAAAGCACTAAGAAAGGGCCTTCAAAGTTGCCGAAAAACGCGCACCAATATACGCGCTATGACAGACTAGATCATTTAGTGATATACCAAGAAAATCAGCGAAGGTGTGCTGTGTGCCACAAAAAAGCAAATTTCTTGTGTCAAAAATGCAATATTTCTCTTCACCCAAAAGATTGTTTTATCAACTATCATACCAATTAGTTTAAATTTTGAGTTTAAATATTTTGTAAAACTTTTTGATAGAATAAATTAACATATTTTTGATTAGTATTTTATTTATTTAGCAGCAGCTCTTAAACCTACTGTCCTTTTAAAAGGCCACCATTTTTTTGGAAAACTGAACAACCAAATTTTTTTTTGCATTTTTTCCTAGCTCAAGCGACCTTAATTTAACCGTTTTCAAGAAAAAAATACATAAAATGCAAAAAAAATAGTTTCAGGGTTATATGGGTTAAAGAACATAACATAAATAAACATAACATACGTAAAAATTAAAAATAATCATACAGAAAGTTTGAGGTTTTTTGGTTTTACCTTATTACGTAATTGTTATCAGGTAGTAATTGTTAATTTTGAAGTTTAACTTGATATACTGTCATTTTAACAGAACGTCAACGGTTTATGTAGACGTATCTGTTTTAAAAAACTGAAGTGTTCTCGAATATTTTAATTTAAATATTTTAAATAGTGTTTTTCTTTATTTTTGTATTTTTTTTTGCTTCCGACGACGGAAAGAAATAAACTTTCCGAAACGTTAAGCATTTTTTTGTTCGTTAGACAAATTTGTATATCTGTAAACCTAACTTCTGACAAGTAGTTTCCGTTTAGATTAAAGCAGAAGTGTCTCCAAAAAAATAACTATTTTATTTCGTAGATTTTATTGCAGTGGCAAAACACCCATATATAATTTTTTAGAGGAATGAATCCGCCACATAGGTATAGACATTTTTTAAAATAAGTAACTTGAACTGTAAAAAGACATAAGAAAAATCATACAACATTGAAACTTTTAAAAATAGAAAGCTACAATTCAGTTCAATCGAATTCTCGACCCATTTCCGCCAGATACCGCTACCTACACACTTTCTCCCCTTTATCCCTCCGCCGCGAAGGGCTCCCTTCGCCGTTACCATAGCAACGAAGGGCCCGGCGCGCCGATGCATCGCCTCCTCGCGGCTCGAAGGCCCACGGCTCCGGCTTTCGCTCGCTCGGCGCCCGCTTCAGTTTGTTCCGATTCACAGCCAAGAAACACGCTTGTCGTACCCGTATCGCTCTCGCCAGTACGATCAAGGTTCTGTTGTTTACGGTGCCGCAGCCGACAACTGCAAGCAACGAAAACCCGTCCTGCTTCGTTGACGAATGCGCGAATCTCACGCAGTGTCCTTCCCCGTCCTCGCACACGATGTGAAGAAGATGACCAGTGTACTCCAGGACGGACTAACCTCACCCTGCGTCGGTTCTTACTTCGGACGCAGCGGTGTCCTCGAGACCTACGTCAGGGGACAATGGTACCGTGTCTTCGTAGCCCTAGAAGACGATTTCTTGTGCATCACCTTGGACGAGTCCTACGAGAACACTACCACCCTTAACGGGACTCTGAACAATAATATAGAGACTCCTGGAGGTCCATGTGAGACTCCTGATGTACCTGATTCGGTAGCCAATCAGAAAAGATCAGTGCGCGTGGTGAAATCGGAGAATAACGGGCTGGGGATCTCGATCAAGGGCGGCAGGGAGAACAAGATGCCGATTTTGATCAGTAAGATCTTCAAGGGCATGGCGGCCGATCAGACTGAGCAGTTGTACGTTGGTGACGCGATTCTGAGTGTGAACGGTGATGATTTGAGGGAGGCGACTCACGACGAGGCTGTTAAAGCGCTGAAGAAAGCTGGAAAGGTGGTGGAATTGGAAGGTAAGGAGAAAAAACTAAAGAACCTGTTGAATGTTGCACGCTATGAGCCATTAGAAGTAGTCATTAAGTGTTAATATGTTCTGAGTTTATTTAACCAGCATTATCATAATCTAAATTGGTAAGATACTAATTGTTTACGACAGTGATATCTTCTACATTACTTTCAATAAGTTCCTTGAGAACACCGCTACATGTTTTTTTCGGTGTTGAAAATAATAACCCAGTGAGCAAAGTTTTGTCATTTAGAGAACATTAGGGAACAGTTACGTATCTGCGTTTTATTCCTTCATATTAGGCAAAAGATGGGTCTGGTAACGTAACAACGACGTCACCTAGAACACATTTCCCTTAAAGGAATAAAATGTTCACTGGGAATACAGATGAATATTTCTGGAGGTATATACGATACTTTATGTTGGATTCAATAGCTTCAGTTTGTTTCTGCATTATTAATCAAGAAACACTTCGGTGGCACCAGCCACTTATCGAGCTCTAGTCAGTACCATCAAGGTTTTGTTGTTTTCTTTCCTGTTACAATTCTAAGCAAAAAAAAATCGTCTTCTTCCATTAAAGAATGCGCGAATCTCACGCAGTGCCTTTCCCCGTCTTTTTCCACGATGTAAAGAAGATGACCAGCGCACTCCGGGACGGACTAACCTCACCCTGCGTCGGTTCTTACTTCGAACGCGGCGGTTTCCTCGAGACCTCCGTCAGGGGACAATGATACCGCGTCTTTGTGACCCTAGAAGACGATTTCCTGTGCATCACCTTGGACGAGTCCTACGAGAACACTACCACCCTTAACAGGACACTGAATAATAATATAGAGACTCCTGGAGGCTCGTGTGAGATTCCCGATGTGCCTGATTTGGTAACCAATCAGAAAAGATCAGTGCGCGTGGTGAAATCGGAGAATAACGGACTGGGGATCGCGATCAAGGGAGGAAGAGAGAACAAGATGCCGATTTTGATCAGCAAGATCTTCAAGGGCATGGCGACGGATCAGACTGAGCAGTTATACGTTGGTGACGCGATTCTGTGTGTGAACGGTGATGATTTGAGGAGGGGCGACTCACGAAGAGGCGGTTAAAGCGCTGAAGAACGCTGGGAAGGTGGTGGAATTGGAAGGTAAGGAGAAAAAACTAAAGAACCTGTTGAATGTTGCACGCTATGAGCCATTACAAGTAGTCACTAAGTGTTAATATGTTCTGAGTTTACTTAACTAGCATTATCATAATTTAAATTGGTAAGATACTAATTGTTTTCGACAGTGATATCTTCTACATTTTTTTCAATATGTTCCTTGAGAACACGAATATTTTTGGCGGTTCTGAAAATAATAATACAGATAGACACTTCTGGAGGTTTATACGATACTTTATCTATGTTGGATTCAATAGCTTCAGTTTGTTTCTGTTATTAATCAAGAAACACTTCGGTGGCACCAGCCATTTATTGAGCTCTAGTCAGTACCATCAAGGTTTGGTTGTTTTCTTTGCTGTTACAACTCTAAGCAAAGAAACATTTTCTTCTCCATTAAAGAATGCGCGATTCTCACGCAGTGTTCTTCTCCGTCCTAGCCCACGATGTGAAGAAGATGACCAGTGTACTCCAGGACGGCCTAACCTCACCCTGCGTCGGTTCTTACTTCAGAGGCAGCGGTGTCCTCGAGACCTACGTCAGGGGACAATGGTACCGCGTCTTCGTGGTCCTAGAAGACGATTTCTTGTGCATCACCTTGGACGAGTCCTACGAGAACACTGCCACCCTTAACGGGACACTGAACAATAATATAGAGACTCCTGGAGGTCCATGTGAGACTCCCGATGTTCCTGATTCGGTAGCCAATCAGAAAAGATCAGTGCGCGTGGTGAAATCGGAGAATAACGGGCTGGGGATCTCGATCAAGGGCGGCAGGGAGAACAAGATGCCGATTTTGATCAGTAAGATCTTCAAGGGCATGGCGGCGGATCAGACTGAGCAGTTGTACGTTGGTGACGCGATTCTGAGTGTGAACGGTGATGATTTGAGGGAGGCGACTCACGATGAGGCTGTTAAAGCGCTGAAGAAAGCTGGGAAGGTGGTGGAATTGGAAGGTAAGGGGGAAAAACTAATGAACCTGTTGAATGTTGGACGCAATAAATCATTAGAGCTGGTCAAATATGGAAACTTAATAACACAGACAACATTTCTTCTGTTTTATAATGTAATGAGCCCATTCCTCTAGAGTATTTCTTTTGCAAATTCCTCCAAACTTAAACATCTACTTCCTTATGGAATAATATAATCATCGCCCTGGTTCTGTAGTAGCTGCGTAGTTAAATAGCTGTGATGTGCCGTGTAGTGTCTTCACATTCCATTCAAGTCTTCTGTCAGTCCCATTCTCTGCATTCTATGTATGCAAAGTTGTTTACACAAACTTTTAAGAACACTCTCAACCAAGTAGATTGGAACAATAGGGTCTAAAGATCGAAGTTGAATATATGAATTAGATTAAGATTCTTTGTGACATTACTCTAATCAAGTGATTCCCAACATAGTCGAGGTGGACCTCTAGATTTGTTAGATCTAATCTTCACATTTTTTGACACGTTTTGAGCATATGGTAGTAATGTAGCAGTAGGCAGTACGGGATCCACCGAAACCAGTAAAATTTTGAAAGTTGTTTACAAAAAAAAAGTTTGGCAATCTCTGCTCTAATCGGTATCAAAGCTGACGAGTTACAAGAACAAATACTCTAGTTTAACACAATAAGCAATAAACTAAGTTTAAAGATGAACCAGAAGATGGAGCGAGGTTTGTTGGAAATAACAAAGAGGAACTATATTTTTTTGTTTTGATGGGCAAATTTTAAGTCTCTCGTTTGTTCTTCGAAACTGTGTTAACAAAGACAGCTTAAATGTCGACAGAGAGTGATAATGATGAAGACTATTATAACACTGATATCTTACAAGAACTTAAAGAAGCTGTAGAAAGAGCGGAAGCAAAATGGAAATGAGAGAAGACGAGTGAAAGAAAAATGAGATGAGACGAGGAGATATGGAAGAAGGATATAAAGATAGATCATGTGACTTTGGGTGCCGGTTTTCGTGTGTACGAAGAGTATACAGTCAATATATATAACTACAACCTTCAGTACATTAAGATGTACTGAACAAAGAGAGAAGAGCAAGTTTTTTCACAAGCTGATAAAATAAAGCGCCACATTAAGTGGTTATGTAATAAACACTAGTATTTTTCCCTCTCCTACTTACCAGATCACCCATAGCGATTCATTCCTAGACATTTAAATACCGGTCTAAACACTGCGTTGTCGACAACATTACTTTATCCTGGGTAATATGGCCCGACAGTTACAAGGGCAATGAAAAGAGAGATGAAATGGCCTACTAAGGCTCATCAATGCCATTCATAGGACGAGAACCCTTCTGCTGCGTTGCAAAAGCAATTTCTCTAGAATGGTGCAGAATTTTACCAGGGCAGAGACAGACGAAAAATTTTGTAGTAGAACGTTCGCCAAAATTCACGACAGACCTGATAAGCAAAGACAGAAAGACAGTTAAAGCTGTAGTGGGTCTACTAATAGGGCATTATAAATTGGATAGGCATCTAAATCTGATGGGATTGACGAACGAAGCCATGTACAAATTTTGTCAATCTGGAGAAGAAACGATGGAACACAGTTATGCCTGGCAAATGTGCGGTTCTTTCTACTAGACTGGTCAATGATCTGCCATTGACAAATAGCTATATGGAGGGTTTAGTCTCCAAGTTGCTAGACTAAGGATCAGAACCACAATAGATCTGAAAAGGTCGCAGTGGGGTCGGCTATTAGTCAGCTCATCAATCAAATGTAATCTAATCTAATCTCTGTTGCCGTCATAGTACCTATGTGGTTGTAAATAAAAATAGTTTTTACATTTTCAACGATGAATGTATCGCCTTTTAATTTTGACATCACTAAACTGAAATCATTAAATCGAAAACCCTTTACTTCAAGTCATTGACAGTTGCTTCGAGTCCTCGCTTTCCACTTGTGGCCTTTCCCCATCAAAAGTGTCTTCCAGAGGGCGCGGTCCCTGGCCGATTGGTCCATTAATCACGGTAAAGAGGGGCCTCGACTAATGAATCATGCAACGACTGCTGCCAAACAGGGGGCTATGCCTCCCCGCGGCCTCTAACTCACCCTCCAAAACAACAGGTTGCTTGTTTGTGTCCCCATGCCGGGCCGTGCCGCTTGGATATATGCCATTATGTCTGTAACAACTAGCACAATGTCTCATTACCTATCAGAGCGTCGTAGTTAATATTAAATTAAGTGTGCTTCTTTTACTAGGAATTAAAACATTGTTGATAATCTATAGTAATAATATGTAAAATCTTTAAGTTACTCACTGATTAATCACGATCCTGCTCAAACCACTCAACATAAGAAGCTCAATTATAGCATACAGATTGATTCTAGGGTGTAGTTACGCTTGACGTAAAAAGCTGATTTTTGGAAAACGGATTGACTTTAGGGTGTAGAGGTTCGATAAGAAGGGATTTTTCGTTTTACATATTTTAAGGTTTTTTAAAAATTTATACAGGGTGTTTCATAAAATATGACCAGTGAGTAATCACCATTTTGTTTAAACTGCTTGACGTTTAAAGCTGATTTTTGGCAAACGGATTGACTGTGGGGTGTAGAGGTTCGATAAGGAGGGGTTTCTCGAATCTCAAATTCCAAAAGGGTGAAAACGCCCCTCAAATATTACAATATTTGTTATATAAAAAACGTTTAGTCTTTCGGGAAAACGCTTGAACACGCATAATTTATTTTGTTTTTTTACATATTTTGAATTTTTTTAAAAAATCATATAGGGTGTTCTAAAAAGTTGGGTAATTGATTAATCACGATTTTGCTTAAAATGCTTGACGTAAAAAACTTATTTTTTTGCAAACGGATTTTTCGAAAGTCAAATTCCAACGAGATGAAACTACCCCTCAAATATTATCAA